TTTAACAATCAGTTAATCGCTATCCTTAAACACACTAAATGTGAAAAGAAAATTGACATTTGGGACAATTGGAAAATGGTCTCAGTTATAACTCTTAGTAGCCTTATAGAAGTTTTTTCAAAGTGGTTAAAAACCGGTTTCGATCACGCAACCTGACACTTATCAGTTTCGGACATAATACATGGGTTACCTGACTCATTAAAGGGACTTAACTGTTTGGCGCGTATGCTTGAAAAATTACAGAGCATATTCAGCTTACTAGCTGGGTCGGTCCAACTCTGCAGGGGTTTACGCTATTAAAGTGCAATCAGTGGAATCAGCTCAGTCAGCACACGATAGTTTTAACTATTAAAATAACCCCTAGATGCTCGAGGAGGCGTCTCAGACATGACAGGCAAAACTGAAACGAAAGAACAAGACCCTAAAACTTTTGTATACGCCAAGTTATAACGCATTTTATCTTAGCACTCTTACAATTACATGTTCTATCGATAGATGCGAGTGTTTGTGTGTGTTTTCGTAAGTACATGCATGTTAGCGTGTTTGCATTTATTGGGCATTTCTCCTGAAATAGTTTTAGTAATGACTACGTGCCTTTCATCTTTCCAAAGTCGAAAGATAATCCACTGGCAATTAATTTTATTGTTAGATTTGACTACTGTAGTATGCTTGCTCTGTGAAATCGAAATTTCATTTGTTTTCCTCACTTATTTATTTATTTATTTATTTCAATTTTTCTTTTCTTTTTTTTATTGTCATCTTTTTGATTTGCTTCACACTGGATGATGAAATCATCAATCAAAGAAAGCATTGCTATACTTTAGAACATTATGCCAGTGTTGTCTGCAGTGCTTTATCATAGAAACAGCTGAAATCATCCATGAAATTGTCCAATCTATATGCATACCTTTATCTCGGATCTGTTATGATATATCTCATCGCAAACGACCTGGCTTGGGCATAATATCACGCCAAATGGCACACAAAGAAAGATGAAGATAATAAATGATATCATGTGAAAGTACAGCCAATCTGATGCCTTCATTGATCTCTGGTAAATGCTTATCAGTATAAAAGCTGAATACGTGCATAAAATACCTATTGGGAAATGTAAAAGAGCAAAAATACAACACGTCTTTGATAAATTTCTTTCAATTGTATTTCCTGATAATATTTAAAGGACAAAGTACAGTTATTTTAAAGATCCAGTCAAGGGGAAAGTACAACCAAAGGTCACCTTCGGGCACCTTTCGAGGGAGTTACGTTACGATCAGCGTACGTAGCTTGATTTATTCTTTATGGTCTAAACTGACCCAAGAACCGCAAATACCGAGTGTTTGCAAGAGTGAGAACTTCGGCGTTCAGTATGCTGTGCCAGAGCTCAACACCTAGTATATTTATTGCACAATTAGTGCCAAGATACCAAAGAGACCAAACGTCAGTAGGTTGCTCTCAGATGTATGCTTTTTGCTATTGGTATACGTGCATTCTGATGTGAAAGTTTGGGCACTTCCCGTCCTTGCCATTCTTTGAATGTGAAAAACACGCACTTCGATCGGAATGAATAAAGATTAAATTTAGCCATACAATTATAAATATTTCCACGTCCTGGCGGCATTTGCAGTAAGGAGGCTTTTTGTCCCTATACCCTAACAGGTCCCCCTTACTTAATCATTATTATAGTTCAGCCAACCAAACACTGGTACAAAAAAAAAGGAAATGAGCTACGAGAAAGTCCAGATCTGCAGGTTATTTAGAAATTCATTATTATCTATACAATTTTATCCCATACTATTATAGATCAAATATTCACATAGCGGCTAAATAGAATCCAACCATCTTTTAACCCGATCATACATATTTTAACATGTTTTAAATTTTTAAAACTGTAGTTAGATGAAGTTGTTCAGTTTGCTGCATGTGCTTTAAAGTAACATGAAATCTATTCACACAAAAATCCAGAATCCACGCAAAAGAATAACGTATCGATATGCTTCAGGACTATAATGTGCATATCAAAACTGAAAGACACTCTAATGAGACGCGTGGTTTTCCATAAGAAGAACCAGATTTGGAGGCTTAGTACCTCTTATGTTCCTAACAAGTGTTCACTCACCTGAAGGCAGGGCGGACTGCTCCGTGCCTACATGTATCTCTAAATGCGCTGTCTAACTGAAACATCTGACAAATGCATTCCTAACGTAAGCTATAAGGCGCCCAAGTACTCAAATCAACACGATTGGGATAAGTTTACGCACCATGCGTAGCGAGGCAGGAGCCTATTTGTTCCTCTGACTGAGATGTCTACGTTTGAATGTTACGTGGATTCCCACTAAAGCCTAACAACTGGTCCCCAATATTACGCACTCGACAGATAGTGACGTCCCTCGGATATTTTACTTCCGTAAGCATTAGTGACAATAAATCGCACTAAGGAATAGAACTGTAACGAACTTTGACGGACATATCCTCATTCCCATTTTGCATCTCGACAAAGAAAGTGCTTCATCAACATTACAACGCAAAGTGGAACCCCAATAAGTTCCCCCTGCACTGCATTGCCGCTGTACAAATATACAGGTAGGAGCAGCAAATAAAGTCAAAACCTCGAAATCCATGGAAATGGTTCACAAGATCATTCTTGTGATGTATCATTTTTAAATGGTATTAGCCAATAAATCTATATAGTGCGAGGCATTTAGTACTCAAAGAAGAGATTTACTTTCATATACATAATACCAACATTGAAACCATAAATGTTAGTTTATAGCTTCTGCATCGACCCTTCTTCTTATTATGTCTGAACGTAGATAAAATTTCATCGATGGCCCCTTCGCTGTAGCATTTTTAATATGATTATAGCACCTCCCATCAGCATCAGCGCATTGCCCGGAAGACGAGCATCACATCTAACACACTATATGACGCACATCGCACGTCGGCACATCAGATCCAATGCCATCCGTCTTCGTGACACCTGCGAGACAAACGTTGATACAGCCTGTCCTGGTGGAAAAAACTGTCCTTAGAAACAATCGATTATATTCGTAATACGTTGATTAAATAATCCTTGTGAGACAGTGCATTATTGCTTCTCCAGTGGATATAGAATATGATTGACGTTAAGACAACAGAGAAAGACAAGCTATGGAGTGAACTTAAATTAATCTTGTTTTCAAAGTCAAAAGGAATGCTATAAAGGCTACATACCAATGACGATATATGCAGTAGACTCCATATGATATGTTCAAGTACATCCGATCTTAAATATTTTCATCTGAGGTAAAAAGAGTTGTGGAAATGATGCGTTCAATCTATGTAAACCCTATTAATCGAGTCATACATGACATTTATGAAAAAGAAAAAGCTTCTGGAACAATCAATGTTGAATTATCATTCAACTTCTTCGTTAACTTTGTAATGCTTATTTCCCCTTCAATAACGATTAATGTTTAATTCAGTACAGTTTAGGCATTTCCAGGTTCTCTTCCCTTGACATTTTAAATACTCTTTTCTTTTCATGATAAGTCACAATTAAACAAAAATGCAATCGATTTTAAGCCAGGATTTCATCATGCATGCAGATGGTAACAATTCTTCGTAGGTATAACGCCGAAGCGTTTCAAAGTAACCTTCAATTAAGACTAGTGATAACAGTGTAGGCAATAAATTATGTTGGCACATCCATGCTTTAATGCGTTACACAACATAAGCAGCTCTGTGCTGTTCTTGTTTGTTCTATTCTGCTCTGTTTTGTTTTCTTGTTCTGTTGGGTTTAGATACATGTACAAATCAGGCACACGTTTTAAAATGTCCGACCATTAAATATCGACATAATTTTTTATCCGCATACAGTTCCACAATTCTTGCTATGAAAAAGACGAGGGTTATATTATGGGATACACGATGGGCCAACTTGATGTCGATTAAAGTCGTCAATTATAAGATAAAGTGACGGGAATCATTGTTACGCTTTCATTTGGATATTAATCAAACAGAATAATCGGGAAAACCTTTAACTGCATTTTCCAGATCATAAATGGGTTGATACTTCATTCATGAGTCACACAAGGTAACTTTTATATAATCTCCGTTCTAAATCAAATTTGCTAAAAAATTCAAAACAACTGTTACTACAGAAACTGTAATGTTTCATTTTGATCCCCGTCAAAGAAAACAAAAAATAAGCAAAAGTTGCACGGGCCTACCACCTATTACCTGGTGTATCAATTGCAATAATACAACTCAGTTCTAAATGATTTTGATCAGGAAGCCATCTACTTAATGCCCCTATTTCACACAGACCACGAATCCCACGAATCGCCAGGAATTGACAAATTTCAGGATTCGTGAGATTTTGCAAATTTTCTGGCCTAATTCGGTACGTTCTACGATTCAGTTACGATACAGGTGCGATAGTGTTACGAATATTCGTGGGATTCGGCTGGTATAGCACGAATATTGTCAAGAATTCACAACGATTTACAAGAATCTATTACGAATACTGCACGAACGTTACGAATCAATAAGGAATCAGTTAAGCATACGCCGAATGCATGCACTAATTGGGTACGAATAAAAGTATTTTATGGACTTTTCTTGACATTTCGTGGTATTTCCGTTTCGGCGAATATTCGTGGGATTCGTGACTGATTCGTCGCCGATTCGTGAGTTAAGAATACATACGAATGCCTACGAATCGATTACGATTCAGTTACATGTACGATGCCTAAAAATGAAATACGAATTTGTTACGAATTAACTACGATTTTTTGGAATCGGGAGTTCGTGGCCAAAATTTTGAACAGCTCATAATTTTTGCCACGCATTCCCGATTGATCAAGGATTGCAAGAACTGACTACGAATACATACGAATCTGTTAAGAACTTCACGAACTGACTACGATTCAACCACGAATCCTGAAATTTGTCAATTCATGGCAATTCGTGGGCTTTCTGGTCTGTGTGAAATAGGGACATGAGAAATGTTTCAAACTCACCTGTGACGTGACTACTCTTTATATCTATGATTTCCTGGAAATCAGGTGCCACAGATTTTAGCCTCAAGCATTTAAAATCTCATATGTATGAATCTCTCTCAGATTGACCTGTGAATAATTCAACTATTATATCAGGTGTTGTTACATGTGGTAGACCTCCATGCTCCAGTTCAGCAGCAGCAGCTGTGCCTTGAAATGAATTTGTAAGAACCAAAGTTGCAGAAGAACTGGCACGTTTTGACGACAAAAGAAAATCATATGAACTAGAATTGAACATATCTATTACATAATTGCAAAACTGCTTTTATCAGTTATAGATTTAAACTTCATGTTGTGGAAATGTGTAAAACACCTTTGATGGGATAGTAGGTCTGCTACTCAAGTCACTAAGCATATGGGTAATTTTGTAAACAAATTTACATGTTAAGTGAGAAAAGCGCCGCCTCTGAGTGAGATATACTCAACTATACATGTACATGTATACTCAAAAACAAACCTTAATGATACGTCAGTGTCAAAAGCGGGGACGCCTGGCTCCAGATCCACACCTCAAAAAAAATTACTATTTTTTGCTGTGGTCACTGGTTTAGCTTACGCCTGTCTCTCCTGATCCACTTCTTTTATCATTGCATTCAGTTCCTCTGACTACTTTTGGGCTAATCGTTTACTTCTTTTCTCTCTTCTCCTTTAGGCAATAATAAAAATAACACAAATGAATAAACGTGTCACCAGATTTCACCTTGGGATATATACCACGGTATCCAAACGTAAACACTACAAAAACAAATGTCAAGGGCGATGATAATGGCATGGACGCCAATGTTGTTCAAAACATTATTCTTGGGACATGCAACTGTTTATGTGGTATTAAGCGGGGTATACTATATCATGCTATTTGCAATATTTAACCTTAAATGATGGACTGTGTCTCTTAACCTGACCGACAGGCACTTTTAACCGAACCTAATTAAAAGTGAAGAAAACGTCAATTAAATCTTACGGTCACGCTTTTTAAGAATGTCCCTTTGGTGATTTTAATGAAATAATGTTTTCAGATATGCATTCCCTGAAAATATCTTGGTTCTTCGCTACACATTGGCCACATGGTAAATGAAGTAAGGTGGGTCTAGTGTCTTTCATTTACCATATTGACATGCAGCCTAGAAGATCTTATCATGAAGATGTTTTCAAGGTATTGTTTTAAAACAGACCGGCTGAAACATATACAGGATCAAGAAAGTACCATGTAAACATTTAGATCCAACTTAAGAATTTTACTAGCACTGGGGTTAATGTTTATAATACGGAGGAGATGGATAATAGTCTCGAGATAAGACAGTAACGTGATTATTATTATTATTATTTTATTTTTATTTTTTTTTTTTGACAGCTTTCGTACACTTGAGCAAACAAATCAAAAAGGTTAAAGGTCAAATTGAAAAATAAAAGATCTTCCTTAGAGCAGAGAATTTTATTCTGGAGGGATGAATGCAATCTTTCCTGTCGGGACAGTTATAATCATGATCAATGTGTATCATGTGCCCAGTTTCAAACGAAGGCCTAACACTGAGATCTATTGAACAAATTCAGCCCATCCCATTTTATACCTCTTATCATTAGAACTAAAACTAAAATTCCTGGAACTAGCGCTTAAACCAAATCAAGACTATCGTTCAAAGTCTCTGCAATATGCTCCTTAAGGCGTGATTGGACACCATAAAAAGAGGTGGTAAGTATGATCGATTCATTTCAGTGAGTTTGCATTAACTTAAATGTCGCCTGGGAAAATATAGAGTAACATGCAATCATTTACGATCCTAAAATTGTGCGTACGTCTTACAATGACAATACCAGAAAAGGCCAATTAATCGAGCCGCCAAAATAATTATAATCATTATATGGCAAGTTACTTACAGCTTTATCTACTATTCCCACTTCTCTGTCCTACTCTGTTATCATGAGAATATCATAACCTAAGTCATTTACCTGTCCCATAACTATTGCCCTGGTACGACCGGGTTCAATAATAGACCACACATATCTTTCTTTTTAATTCTGATGTCAAAACGTGATGTATTCGCCAATTCCAGGGTTGTAGTGAGTTCGTGTTCGCTTCTTGACACTCATTCCACGCCGAAGCGGTGTGATTAGGCGTCCTCTTATCATATACAGTCATTATGCCTCTCCCTCAGGTTGAGATCGAATCTAAAAGCCCCTTTTTCCAATTTGCTATCAATTATAAATGGTCATTGTCTTTGTCTTTGTTTTCCTTACTCATCAAAACAAATAGAGGTTTTGCATAGATCACATACTAAAAAGTGTCCTTGACAATTGGCTTTCAATTTTATAACGCTAAAAGGGAAACAAAAGGATAGGTAAAGTCCAGCTGTGTGCCCAATTAAATGATAATGGAGTGTTGATAAAGCATGGTTATGTTCAGATTTTGAAATGGCAAAATTTTCCTAGCTTCGTGCATCAAACATGTCATAACATGCTATACATGCTTAAAAACATAGTTCTGAGAGAATACCAAGCGGGATTATCATTTGGATGATAACACAACATCCAAATTCAAGAAAAAAGTGGTTACGTCTGAAAAACGATTGGCCAGTTTTTAAATATGGCGATAAATGTAAACAAGTCTATAGAAAGACGATAATCCAGAGATGACTTTGTCTACTGTCTTACCGAGGTGACTCTGACTATGTAACGGTACAAGAGGGGGGATAAACTGCTGTAATATGAAAACCTATTCTATACCTATATTATCCAGTTATTTTTGTCGTTACAACTTTGCTGCAAACTCACTTTCTTGTGGTATTATAACTCAACGAGTATAGTATATCGTTGAATGGTGAAGCAAATAACTTCACAATTCACGATCAGAGTCTTGGTTCCAAGATGAACTTTAGAAATGATTTATCTTTAATAAGCAAATTGCAGAAGCATGTTACGCTTTGGGGACACTTCAACCGACATATGGGAAAACGTGAATGTGGTCAAATCGTGATTCAAATCAAACCATGTGCATAAAAATTCACCTGATGCAGTGGCCCTTGGGTTTTTTTCTAGCATTTATTTAAGAACATATACCCTGAAATATAGGGTACAATGTTGTGTGCTTTACAGTGCAGAAAAAAACTAACATTTCTCCTCATTTTGGCGGTGTTATTGGATTTCTCATTACTGGTTTATACTTATAGACTGCTGATCAAAATATCATTAATAGGCAGAGAGCTGGCTTTGTCTTTATGTGTCATTTTTCCAGTTGAAGTACCTGGAAGCTTATAATACTTGTCGGGTGTAGATAGAATTCGGTTCAGGGGCTAAGCACCAAAACTGGTATGCTTATTGACAAAGATATGAACAACAATCGGGTGCGACAGATTTTTCAGAGGATCTTAAGGATGCTTAAAGCGTTTGTCAAAAACTCAAAAACATATGTCTTCAGTGTTCAGTGACTATTTTACTTCACATTTACACACATTTCATCTCACGGGTGACGTCATAATTGCAATTTTGGGGTAAAAATGGAAAAGTCGGTTTCTCAAACTCCTTTACCTGAGCACCCATGAACATTATATGATATATGATAATAGCCACAGCCATTATTTTATAAAGGCTCTTTTAGCGTGATTGTGGCTAACAGGTATATGTCCTTTATGGCACATGTGTTTGTGATTTACATTGTTATTTGTCAGTTCATCTGAGAACGTGATTTAACGACAAAAGGTCAGTATTTAATAGAACTTATACGCCACTACCAAAGAGGTACCGCATAGATCTACAGTATGTACTAGGCTGTCCATAGATACAAGGGTGCCCATAGATTTAATTTTACTATTGAATAACAACTAGGCAACCGATTATCGTGTAAATTGTGGATGTGGGTAATAAAACATTGACAAACCTAACGTGACCATTAAAATACCCCAACAACTTACATTTTTATACGGCTCCTTAGTGATCACTTAAAATTCTTACTTCATGTAGTAGATTTTTCATAAAAACGTTTAGTTATTTTTCATTTTATCAACAGTGATTAATATCATAGATTGACATGTGTCTCGCCGCAGTCCGATAAAAGAAAATAAGCGTCGAATCCTGAATTATCAATGGCCAATAAACAATTATCGACACTCGTTGTATTCTACATCATCCCGTCTGACAGACAATGGTAATGGGGTCTCAATAAATAATACAAGAAAACGGAAATTTTTATATTGTTTGAATTATGGGACATCAATTTACGTGCCATTACGATTATTTCAGTGTAATGTTTATGTTTAAAATTACACCCATGTGCCCGAGAGAGCATGTGCCCATATATGTCTATTGAGTCATCTGTGGCGATCATTAAAAAATATGTAGTTCGAATTTAAACTCCGAACGAAAAATGATCTTATTATATGCGATAAGTCATTGACTTGTGTTAAATTAATTTCTAACAAGACCTCATTTTGTTGGCAAAACCTACTTGTAGTACCAATGTTACAACTGTTCATAGCCCAATCTTTCACTATGCCGCTTTAGCTTCTCGATAATCTGAAGATCTCTTAGCATCGCGATATAAGCACCGATAAAATGAAAACTCGGAAGAAACTTCCACCCTTAATTTTATTAAAGCAAGGGACCCGAGACTCGGTTTTTGCCTTATTGTGGATACATTTAAGTGGATAAGTTATGGGTTGGTTAAAGCTATCAATACCATAAAACTTCTAATTCTCAACCATGCTTCCGTCTTCTTACATTAGTGTTATTCGGTCAGAAGCATCAGTATTCTATAAAGGAAAGGCGTCCGCTTCCTGATTAAGCCGGTTAAGCTCCAAGGCATACCGATACTCGTACAGTGTGCAACATGTTCAGCGTGCAACAGATGCAGCTAAGAAAAAAAAAAACGCGTGATTGATTTTAGTGAAAACATAACAAGACAGGGCATGGGGACCATTTATGACATACAAATTAAAGACTAACACAGTGCATGGTTGAAGATGACGATGAAAGATTGGCTGCCTGGCATTACTGGGTAATTTCGATTTTCCTAAATAAGAAGTGTCAAGAAGTTGATTTGGACTAACTGTCATGGAATATAGGTTTCCCGCCCCCCAGAGGTAGAGGTTTAAGTGATGAAAAACATTCCATCTTAGGGATATAGAGAGATATTATATTGTCATTGTGATAAGTCGAGTTAGATTGCATAACGGCTGCAAATCCCTAAAGTATCTTATTTTGTCGATCTGAATGGTGTATACTTATCTCTAAACTGCTGTTGTTGCCAGCTCCCAAATGCCAATAATGGTGCTATGATTTAATCTCTGTATATGTTCCATAATTTACGGAAGGCAAAAAGCCTTTTAAGGGCCAAACAAATGCCATTAATATTGTTCTTGAAACCCACGGTGCTTTGGAACACTTCAATGTCAACTAGCTTAATGATATGGCATTCTAAATGCCTTTACATTAGGTTTGATTTCTGTTGATGGATGATAATGACTGAAAAACAGTATTGCACATGCCTTGACTGTAATAGCCTGCTTGGCACTGTTATCTCCCTTGCACCTTGTATATACAAAATTCACAAACTTTGATCAATTTCCTTCGACTAATTTTGCATTATCAGATAAAAATCCAGGAAACCCGATATGGCATAGCCATTAGTACTCTAAAGACCAATTCCCATTACAAAGGACTAGGTCTTCAAATCATTCTTGAAATAATTGATCGCTCGACAGATTAAGCTTGCGTTATAAATCAAGATGGGTTGCCAGGGAATAATTATTTCTGAATTTAGAACGCATTCATATATCATATAATTTATAAAAATTCTATTATAGTACAAAATAGTGCAAAAGTTAAAAAAACACACATACATACACACCCATAGAGAGAGAGAGAGAGAGAGAGAGAGAGAGAGAGAGAGATTAAAAAAGGAACAGTTACCTTTATACCTTTATATACCTGATATTTGATTTCATATATATATTCAAATAAACCGCGCCGTTCTCTCGGGACAAAAGGACACAGTTTAAGACTACAAGAAGAGTTCAATTGTACAATAGAAAGGTTGGGAGAGCATTTTAAAAACAAACAATTTATTTGTCACTGATTTCAATACATGCTTTAAACAGTTTTAAAACCCCCTTTCTTTCCTATGAATGGCATTTTGAACTTTGAACAGCCGTTCTAACATACACCATGTTTGACGTATTGACGGCGCAACTGGTAAATGTAATAATAAGTAATTACCCAGTGTTAATCATAAATATATTTAACAGACTAGATTGCATGTTGGTGTACATGTACACTTTCTATTCTTTTAACCTGCGACAGGAAACGGGTATTCTTCACTGAGTGGCAATATAATAGTTATTCAGGCGTGACAGGAATGGTAGTTCGCTAGGAACCGTAGTCCGCTTCCCATTACTTTGTACAGGTACATACTAACCCCAATTCCCTGACTAACCCTGACCTGTAATGATTATATGGGACTTCGAACGTCCTTTCATCTTCGTGCATAAGGGAATGAATGACCAGCTTGTCGACACTCATTGTGATTTTCTTTTCTGTTGCATTACCCATGAGCAATAGACTTTCAAGCATTCAGACAAGCCAACATTTAACTGAAACTACAGCCCTTGATATTGGTTCCATCATTAGCCGTCCTGAATCCAATACTTGTTGATTAATTAATCTGTCTTTACCACAAGTACAATGTATCTATGTATTAATAAATAAACTATGATAAAAGAATTTTGTATTTATTTAGGGCAATCTTTGCCAACTATCTCTTACTTTTTTTGACTGTTAAGTAACATATCTTAAATCTTTTTGATGTCGCATCTAGCGTAAAACCATTCACTACGTAACCGCAATCTAGACTCGCTTAATATTTTAAAAGAAAATGGCGACAAGATCTCATTTGGGTTGCATTATTTATCTATTTTCTTTTGCTTATAGCATGAACAGCTTGAACGGCGCAAAATAGTTCCACGATATAGGCCTAATAAATCTTCGTATTGTGTTTATGTGCAGGTCAATCGACCAAATTAAAGCCTTCTGAAATCGAGTTTTTCACCACAGTCTTTTTTCACATCTTGACATCGTGCGGTATAGTTTGACAGGCTGTACCGGTTCAATATGAGAGTAGTTCAGTTGCAGGGAGGAGGGTGGGGGGGTACTCGATTTGACAATTTCGCTTGTAGCTGTTCAGGCGGAAGTTAATTATTGACCTTGCCGAGCGCGAGGTCTCCGTTAAGGTCTCTCTTTCGTCGTAGTCAGGCTATAAAGATGTCAATCTCTCGCTTGATGTGAAAAGCACTCAAGTATCTTTATTTTATTCACCTTAACGATAACAAAGAACAAATCAGATGGTCACTAATGAGCTTCTTTCATGTGAACAGATCAATTGTATCGCGGTTCAAGACTGATAAATCTATTTCATTGAGCACAGAGCGGTACACGAATTTTAAGGGCCTACGTGCACTAGCTGAATCAATTAACCACTAAATAAAATATGTACGTGGATAAATGCAAACATTTTATTGTGCTGGTCCAAAGTGCACACAGTCTCTAATTAATTATCGCCAAGGTCTACATACGTATACCATTTCGCGATCACTACAAAAATAAACTTTTAATTACAATCGAAACACCACACCAATTTTACGGCACAGGCAACACCAAGACCACCTACCATTACCAAATATTGCTTGAATTCTTATCCATGTTGCGGTGCACAGCGTGCATTTCTGCTCTTGGGTATTTCAGTTGCTCTGGCGAGAAAGGCATATAGTAGTTTGTCCCTTGCTGCAGAACTGCTAAGAAATGATCGGCCTCAGCAGCCACTCAGAAGACAAATTTTGCACATGCGACGAGCACGCCGACGACAATTGATTGACGTTCCGTGGGCGGATTCCGGTATATAATTATATTCTTTAGAGGCCATGAACGCTGAGCTATGACTGGGTGGTTTAAATGACTACATTTTAATCATTTTCACGACAATGGAGTTGGTCCAGACGATAAAGGGGTTGATTCTCCTCTGCAATGCTTACTCCAATTCATGAAACAGGTGCTCAGTAGGATTAATACCAGGACTCAAAATCGGTTGCCCCATCTTCAGAAAACCGTGTTTCTGCAAAAAATCACTCACCAGACGAAAACTGTGAGCAAGTGCGCATGTCTTGTCGCGATGATAAACTAGAAAAGCACTCAGAGAGCGCAGACTTCCGCCAAGAAAATAATTAACTTATAATTAACCAATGCTTAATTAATTAATGTGTTATCACCAAAATCAATTACTTTTTGTTTGTCTATTTCTGACGTATCCTGAAAAAAATAATCAAAGTCCACCCATTTTCGAGCTAGAGTGGTGACGAGCAAAAAGACGAACAGACAAACTGAGGTGAAAACATTACCTCATCTAATTGTTCATGATTTTAAGACTGAAGCTAGTTAGACGCCCTTCACACAGGGCTACGACCTTTGTGCCTTTTTTTATGCAGCTGTAGGCAGGAGGCCGTAAACCTGGTGGGTCCGCCCCTGGCTGACACAATACAGAAGGTTACAACAGCCGACTTATGCAAGAACCGCGACTAGAAAAAGAAGGATCGTTCTATAATAACCTATGCATGGAGCCAGCGATGTTAGATTAATTCTACTAAAGGGTTAATTGGTCCAGGATTTGCGAATTAAAGATCTATTGGAGAATAGGCAAGTTTAGAGGATGTCTTAAAGCTAGCTGTGACCCTACGTTTCTTTGCCACTGGCGAAAAGTGCCTTTGCTCTCAAAGCAATTTGTTTGACTCCAAATCCGACTGTTTGTGCAATTTGATAAACAGATCATCATGTAAAATAAAAGTAAGGTGATGCAACAAAGTAGTTCACGGAAAGCAGAAGAGAAGCAGAAGCATTTACAAAGTAGTCGAAATGCTGGCTTGGAGACACCGCAGTCAAAATAACCAGCGTTCAATGGGTGGAAATGGTCAACCAAGGAAGGTACCATGAGGGGAGTAGCATTGTAGATAGACTTTGGGTCAAAAAGGTTGCCCCACCATTAGTCCTATGTGTTGCTATCGAAATCACTGTGGAAAATCATCTTTAAGGGGGGCGTTTGTTCTTAATTTGAATAAATGGTATAGTTATGGACATCTTTACCGGTATTTGGGCTTTTTTAACCCTAAGTCATGTTAAATATGGTGTATGGAACAAAAACACTATTTAAAACGGTTTACAGCTCCCATACGATCATTTGTAAGCAAAAGCACATAGGATTGAAGGTGGGACAACTTTTTTAACCAAGGGTGTAGAGTCAAAATTCCATCTAATAATTACGTGGAGAACAGTGGCCGATCACTGTGCATCAATTCTGCAACCAAGGCAAAAAAAACCTCCTCTCAGCTCCCTTTCAGCAACCAACTTCCTTTGCTATCTTTGTGCTGTTATTTCAAACCTGTTAAAGAATTTACCGTAGACCGTTAACTAACAAGGTCTTTAGCGTTATTAAAAAAAAAACAAATGCTTGTCAAACTGGATATTTGTGCATTCTAAATATCATTATTTACAAACTTGTACCTTATATGTCCGAGAGAAACATCAATACAAAACATTCTTAAAGTCTTATAAGGGTGGTCAAAGGTTCATTGCTAAGGCCGATAAAGAAGGGAAATCTCTTTGGTCTTTTTTGACCTTTTTATACAAAGCGTTACAGTAATAAACAAGATGCTGAACTAAAAAGACCTTAATATTGAAACAACTTTTCACGCGTTATAAAAGATGGTGAATCCGAGATAGTGAATGCTTACTAGACTTTACGGGATTCTGCGCGATAACCTTTGTATGTGTCCTCGATCTATAACTACGGTTTTCTAAGATGATAATAACGAGATTAAAGTTCGCTGGCATCCTTTGTTTGCTTTCAAAACACCATCCAATCAATTAAGTGCTGTATAGGTAAGGGAAGTTTATAGAATGATCAGATTTGAGGACACAGTCATTTGACATATCTGGAAGCGACGTTAAATTTTTTTATTGTTTCTTCAACAATGTGGATATTAGAGAATTTTTTAATCATACCGTAGTTAGTAGCACGTTTAGATACAGGCTTTCTTGTGTCTGTATGGCATCTGCTGATAACATTGAGAAAGTAGTTTGTAAACACTCATGCGGTCTGATCTGTGATCTAGTCTAAGGGTTCCCATAGGCTAGGCGATAGATGGGTTATTTCTTTAGGCATACCATGCTGTCTTTATAGTAAATGTGGAATTTTTTGCGTACATAAATACATGTATGGATATGTAAAGCATATGTAAAGCACTTAGGCACATGCACCATTCATCAAAAGTGTCTACCATCACAAGGACATCTTGGGACTACAAGTATATAGGCTACATGAGTACGTCGAGGAATTCCGATCCAGACTGCCATTACGTCACTGTGGCAATCATCATCATCAAAACAACTCTGCTGGTCTCCTGCACTGTTACACCAATTGAGGCAACCCATACCATCGTGCCTCTCTAGATTAAATATTTTTTTCATTTGATTAATATACCAAGTGCATCAATCCAATTATAGTGCTATGAGACGTGATCATTTAAGTCCCTGATGATTGGGATTAGAAGTATTATACAGCATAATGCCAGACAACACACATATTTGGGATATTTTATCTCATTATCTAAGTAATCCATCACATTCTATACGTAACTAAGAAGTGAGAACATCAAATGTTATCATTCAGAAAACGTAAAATGGCTTACCATTTAATAGAATTTTCTTTGGAAAGGTAACTTTATTATTCACTCCGCGTAATATTTAATCTTCAAAGAATTCACCAGGGGTTTACTGGCAGTATATGGTTGCAACTCCAACTCAATGACAATGAACATGATAGTCAAACCAATACGTTTATGTCAAAACTAATTGATTTGCTCAACAAATCAAATTGAAATTTCAGGAAAAAAGTTGTAGGGCCCACTCTGTAAATTTCGGGTTCAAAAGTTTTACTGAAACCTGCAGTCGTAAATGAAAGCAAACTCTGCAATTTGTCTTTTCAGCATATATCTGGCTCTGTTAGATTCATTCTATTGATCTCGCTTTGCTTTCATAAAAGATCCTAAGAGTCGAACAGTCTTTATAGAAAGTTAAGGATATAATATACCACTCAATCGAAAGTTCACCGAGGCACTCTGTTGGAACCAGGCTCAACGCATGCGCAAATACATGTATCTTTATAGATGGAAAGTAATTGTCCCCGCTTTAGTTATCTGTTATCGTTGGTTTATTTATGTTATGCGATCACCTTTTAAAGCCCAGTAGAAAAGCAGCAGCACTGGAATATGTTCTTGTCACCAGGGCTCCGTATCTCGAAAGGTTCGCTATGTTGCGCACGTGCGTTAGTGTCTCGATTCCATAACCGATTCTATTTCGAGATACGGGGCCATGGAATCGAGACACTTGCTCACGTGCGCAACATAGCGAACCTTTCGAGATACGGAGCCCCAGCAAAGCTCTCTTTTACCACACACCCATCAAACACAGAACGTTATTATAACGTTACCATTAGGTTTATGGTAACGTTATGGTTACTTTATAAAACGTTCTGTGTTTGCAGGGTACAGCCTATGGCTCCTGTTGTGCATTCTTACTGTATTGAAGTCTGGCGCGTCCTTTTGGCAAAGCAATGGAATTTTCAAATTCAAAATGTGCAAGTTTTAAACTTAACTGCTTACTGGGTGAATAATGAAACATAGATAGAGTAAAATGTAGCATAATATACATGTACTAGTAGTAATGCATGCATTCTGTATATTTTTGCCCAGAAAGATTGGTGCACCTCGTCATATTGTGAATTTTCCGTAAATCATAGTGTAACCAGACAAACACAGCTGTCACTGCATAAACGTTTATTGAGATACTGGTATCATAAGTATAAGGCTTCCAGATTTGCATCCTGTAAGAACAATAAACAATATGAATTTATTCTAAATAATATTTAACTTCTGACTCTTAATAATATACAATTACAACATGTGTTTATTTAAATCAAACACTATAATACAGTACAAAGCAGCTACTTTTATCTGAGACCGTGTAATTACTGAATGTATTATATATATATATAACCATCTACAATATTTCAACAGTACACGTACCATGTATGTCAACTTATAGTTCACACTGCAGACACATTCTTATCATACAGGTCACCAACCTATAATATAAGCACATCTTAACTATTTTTTCCAGACGTACCATTATTGAATGATTATTCTCACTACACCAGTATATTCAATGATATCTAATATACACATTCTTCTCATTAAACTTTTAAACTTACACTATTAACTATATATTAACACAATACACGTAAACTTAAATTCAAATTATAGTATAACGTAAAACTCCCTGTTCTTTATGCACTGCTAACAATAAAAAAATCCAGTAATATGTTCTAAACATGAATTATACTATAAAACAATGTAAACTTACATTGTTGCCAACTTTTTTACTTTATACACTGTATGCTAGCTGCCCAGGTAGAAACTCAACTGCAAGGTAATGCTGTCTTAGCTAAATCCTCAACTTGACAGTGTGGCCACAAGTAGAGGCTATGCCATGCCAGCAAACTCCTTTACTATTCAGCTGTCCTGCTACACAGACCAACTCCCAACTCACAAGTGGTGTCCTAGTATATCTGACTTACACCTCACTGTCCACTAGGCCATATGACTGGTGAGTAGTACTCTAATCAACGCTCTGATAATCATACACTAAGTGTTAGGAGCAATGACATGTGACATATGGAAACACATGCTTTCTATTGGGTACAATAATAACTATTTTGCATATGACTTAAAACATTGCAAATATCTAAGATGTAAGTGAAACGAGCGAGGAAAATGACTATTTTGTCATGTGGCATACTGTTGATATGGGATAAACAGACTTTGTTGTCGATTTTTGCCTGCTCATGTCGTAATTTATATAAATGTACTGGGAGTTATTTGTTTTAAAGCTATATTTTGTCCACGCATTGTCCACATGTGTATCTTTGCTTTAACCAAAATGTTCTGTTGGTGGAAAAAATATGTAGCTGTTCATATTCAACCACAAAAACCACATGACTCCTTTGGGCCACTAAAAAGAGTCTGAAAACCGCACCGTGATCTGTTAGTGAGGGGATCATGTGTTGGTATTGGGGTTCTTTACCATACGTCTCGCTCTGCACATATTTATGCCTCCTCATTAACAAGCGAAATAAAGGAAAAACACAAATATGGTGTTCGAAATTTAGCCGGTGAAGTACACTTTTATTGAAAGCCCCCCCCCCATCCCCCCCCATGCCCCCCCCCCCCCCAGTAAAAGAATAGTGTAAAGTAATAACGTAGCATTAGAAAATATTGAATCAATTAAGTTACGTAATGTTATAGCATAAATAATAAATATCCAGACAAATAATGCACGTATTTTCATTTGGGGGGTTGCTGACGCTCTAAACTTATTTCCAGCAGTCTGCCTTTCAGACTGGCGGAAAATTCGATTTGAATGTTGGGCCTATAGTTCTTCAACTATGGATCTGGCAGATTTGGTCCGTATTCCTCTAGCCATGAGGAAAACACTGGCACATCCATCATTAGTAAGGCAGTGTCTATCTGCATAATCGCCCGGATTGACAATGCCACTAATAACTCTTCTCCGTGGAATTCTGTTTATGGCTTTCCTGTTGATATGCTTGAGGATGCCTGGCCATTTCTGTCTTTTTAAGGCCTGTGTCCATTTAAGCGATCGCCTGGTTTCTAATTTCTATGCCAGTGGCAAAGAATAGTTTGATGAATTTGATTGTATCCAGATATATACTAAAATGGTAGAGATGAGGCGAAAACAGTTTTATATGCTCTGACTAAACGACATGTTTTTACATACCCATATGAGTTAGGGTGTTATACCGTGGAAACAGATCTATGAAAAGTGTCCAATTTAATACTAGTTTATATCAAGCACCAATAGATGAAGAGCAATAAGCAATATATTTAATGCTGTAGCATATTGGCCCATTGATAAAAAACTGAAACGGCAGCGGCAGCAGTTTGAGATACAGATGGCATGAAACCACTTTAGAAAACAAACGCTGCTTCTTACTTGGTTCCAGTGAAGCAATGTCAAATATAGACTTATATGAATGGTTACTTTTTGGTAGGATCAGTTTTCCGCAGTATTTCTAATCTGAATGGTATAATGATACACTTCCATTAACCGTGATGAGGAGTTTCCGACAGTTGCTTCGAAATATTTAAATGCTTACTTCGACTTCTACTCTCGAACAATATCACTCTGAACCTGCATTAAGTTGAATTGCGATTTCAAGTGTAGTTCACAACTGAGTGATTTTTCGGCAACTTTACTACTAAGGCCTCAATATCTGAGAATAGAAATGAACGAAAGCGATATATAACACGTTTAACTAGCGAACTGGAAATCATTTCAATTTCCCGAAATTAAGTTCTTTGAAACGCAATAATGTCAGAAGCTTTAGCAAAATGTTGATTGGCGTTTTAACGTAATCAAATGACCATTTGGAATCCCACCTCAGTTGCTGTCATTCCCCTCAGATTTCTGTCTGACATTTAGATTAGGAATAAATATGGATGCGTGAATGTCAGAAACACTCATCAGTTGCTCTCATCTCATATTTGTTTCTCATCCTGGGGTGCACGGTCCACATATTCCTTTGCAAACAAATTGTCAATATGGTGCTCGAGATCAGATGAAATCAATTACTACAAATTCATAGAGATGAAAATAAGAATGCGAAGTCTTTTGTAGCTGACAGAATTCAATTTTCTGTCATTTTTCAATTCGCTTTCAAGCAGTTATCCGATCATCTGTCGGTGTTTCATTTTTCCGAGTGACAGGTGGTTGAGGGGTTTCTGGCCGTTTACTCTTGAAGCAAGTGCCATAAAAGGAAGTCTAAACCAAGCATCATTTTTATCACGTACTCGCATTATTTCTTTTTTATTTGCTTAGTTTGAAAGCAAAATATATGTTCGTTCTACTGTAGTCAATAACGTACTCAGCTGTACAAGTGCAACATTAAGGTCAAATTACTCAGTGGAAGTCGTTTATTATATGCGGGTAATAATTACATCAAACTGTTACGAAAACTTTGGCTATGATATACCGCGTTACACTGCGTATCTCACCCAAACCCAATAAAGAGGTGCAATTGAGGTCGCAGGCATGCTCTTAAAATATTAAGTGCACAGATTGCAAACTATGTTTAATAATTTTAGGGTGCGACATGAAGAAGTTGGTACCAAAGTTTCAGTTTCCTGGAACCATTAATAATAAAAAAATAATTCATCGACTATCCCCAAAAAGGAACATACGTTACTGTCTCAAATGCAAAACGTCCAGCTGTGAAACCTTTTACTCACTTTGAAAATTCAATCGTCAATGGTTTTGATCTTTTTAAAAAATTATAATATTCTTCTGTATAGAGCAGTTAATTGTTTTGAGCGATTTTAGTTTGCTTGTCACTGAATATAAAAAAAACCCTATCGACAGTAAAATAAGCATTATATAAATTATTTTTCCCCTCGTGATCCAAATATTATATAAGAAATGTCAAACTATCATGGAATCACAATATATTTTTCGGTCAGCAACAGAAAACACCGTTTTCTGTTGCACCAAGTACTGGAACAAAATGAAACTTTTTGACAATTTTTCATGGGGAACATAGTATTAGCCATGACACAAAATCCATTGAGTTACAGTTTAAATATTTATATAAATACATCCTTACGTCATGTATAATTTACCATGAGTGAATCACTACAAAATATATCGGAACGCGGTATAAAATTTAAAATTAAATGACCCGGAACATACGTTACCATACGTTTCCGGAACATACATTACCATTAATGTTAAGACATGGTAAAAAATAAAATTTGAATTTAAATTGAGACAGTCGTGGATTTTTGTTCTATACACATATATGTTTTTAAAAATTGAATACAACTTTGAATTCATACAATTTTATTTTTGTACACTTCAGCATGTGAAATGCACCTCTGTATTGGGTTTGGGTGATCTGCGTTTTACAATATGCCTGGCCTGTTTTTGGCTTTGATTCAAACATGCTGTAGACGTTCTCACCTCCAGGGGAAAGATACAGTCCAGCGTATGTCATGTTGAAAGATAACATGTTAACAATATGTACCTCTGCCAGAGCAGGTACTTTATCCCTGCTTCATCCATTAAATATTGAATATTAAGCGAGAAGACAACAGGTGCCGTTTACGAAGGACTGGCATGTCCCCGGAAAGGATGGAACCCACGTCCTCCTGCACCGCTGGCGGGCAAAGACACCCGGTAGTATACAGTTTGCCATTCGATATAAAACGCCAATAATAAAATCAACGCATCTTTACGTTGGATATTAGATAATGACTTAACCGCACGTGGGTTAATTTGAAAAAAGGGGATTAAATATGTTTCAAAGACAGTTCACATACCACAATACAAACATAATACAAAGGTTTTAGTGAGATTAAAAAGAAGCAAAACCATCACGCTGCGAAATGAACGCAGTTTCAAACACACAAACATACACACAAATGAACTTCACTGAGTAGTATTACGCAAACAAAGTAACTACCAGCAAACTCAGCTGAATAAATATGTAACATACAGCATGTAATGGATAAATCAAAGCAGGATAGTAAATCAAAATAATCAGACTTTGTATCTTTTATTGGTAATAAGAATTACGTAGAATAAAATTTACCGCCCTGCGTAGCCATAGCATGCCAAGTTAGAGTCAGTGCAGTGCAGTATGGTGGAAATGTCAAGCTGTCTTTGATCTAAAGGTCTCCAGGTGTTGGGGGCGTGCATCTGGTATGCGAGATTTATGTAGAACGAAGGGTTTCACTTTACATCCATCGATGATATTGTATTGGTAAATTTCGACTCACATGTGGAAAAATCCAACACAAACACTTTTAAGGTAAGCCTTACGTTTACTTTTTATTCTCATTGGTGCTGACAAGAAAATATTACAACAACTCAAACAAAATATATCTCCCAAATCTAATTTGGCACAGTGCTTTCATAAATGTGTTCAAAATAGGAATACAAAGATGATTGTAAAAAATTCATAACAGTGCAATTAAAACAAAATAAAAGGCACGGTGTACCCATTTGAATGTACAGTTAAGATAAATAGAATAGGTATATACAATGGGCATCATCCAAGATAGTCCAAACTCACTCTTGCAAATGAGTTTCAGATTAAGCAAGAATTTTAGCTGGAATTGGAGAAGAGAGGGGCCAGAAAAAATGGAGGACCATTGAATGTAGTGTGGCAAAGAATAAAAGCTGACAATTTATCCACAGATATTTTTCATTATATTTTGCATGTCTTTTTTTATATTGCTTTCTAAAATAACATTCCTGGTGCATAGAATTTCACCCTTATTGCTTAAACATTAATCACACTTCCTGTGGATTCTCGGCACTTTTTTTTCCTCAGGTATGACATCAGGCACTGCCATCAGCTTCCTTAAGGTTATATCTGATGATACCCATGTATTGTTAACAATGGCTGGCCCTTATTCAAATACTGTTTTTATCAAAATCAAAAAAGAAAACCAGCCCACACAGATGCAATATCAAAGTTTTGTTCTACAGTACTTACAAATATATAAAAATAATTTTCATAACATGGAATGTTCATATGTCATCTATAAAAAGTTATAAAAAAATGACAAGCTCCTGCCAAGCTTTCATCCAACTTCACAATATCAACCTAATTTTTTGTTTATGTCCCGCAGAACAGAGGCTACCCGTAATTATAATCTAGTTTAAAAAAATTATATATATATATATATATATATATATATATATATATATATATATTGTCATAAAAAAGGACCCATATTTTCTATTATTTTGAGTGATTCTTTGGGTCATCCACAGTCTCTCCATTGTCGTTGAATTGCATATCCATATATGCCCCCTCAGCTGAAGTGTTAGCTACCTTATTTTCAAGTCTGGACTTGGATCTAGAAGATCTAGACTTTCTCTTTTTTCTCTTTGGCTGTTGTTCCTGTACCTTTGACACATACACTTGCATTTGGTTGTGCAGTTCTTCTTTCCTTCTTTTTAACTCTTCTTGCTGAATTTCTTTTCTTTTTCTGTTTTCAAGAATCTGTGTACAAAGTTCCTCATACTTTTTGCAATTTTTAGCAAGTATCTTCTTGCGTTTATATATCTGTCCAAAACAAATTAATATTGTCATGTGTAGGACCAGTGTGTTCTCCATATAAGTAATATATATTGTTTAAATATCTGGGAGGGGGGGGGGAGTTCTGAGCTAACTGCCCTTTTTGCTGAGTTAAATTTGGTATAGGCACATGGAGGTTTCATGGTGAAAAGTCCACTTTTTCAGAAATAAAATGCACCTTTGAGATTGCTGGCAACAGGACTGCATATAAATGTTTCTACTTTTACTTTCTTGCAAACAAGTTTCAAAATTTATTTACAGTACAGTACTGTACAGAGTAGCAGGTGCTGATCAAGGTGAACTGAAATCTCTTTACAGGCTTTACTTATACATATTTTATTGAAATCAAAGAATAGTCTTTAAAACATACCTTGATGAAGAGCCAGAATACCATAATAACTTGAAAAGCAATTGTGCAGCCTCCAATTATTGCAGCTGATGCTATGTCAAAGGTAAGTGCTGAGTCAGCCTGCAGTAATGCTACAATTGCATTCTCCCCTGCTATCAGAAACTGGATCACAAGGCAACCAATTACAAACAAATCCTGGAAAGATATAGTGATAATAGTAAAATCTAGCCAAGCACAGCATTTTTATTTGAATGAAAATATTGTTATATAGCCATACTCTTTGAAGACCCTTTTGAGTTCTTTGAGTGCTTGCATGCTATAAATTTTGCAAAATGCATCTGGAGTTCTTTGAGTACTTTTTCACTAAAAATTCTGCACTAGAAATGCTGGTTTTTAAAAAGTCATGCACAAGAGCAAATAAATATATTTTAAGTAAATCTGAAGTATAACACTGAATGCTGATGTAAATAATTTAATGGAGTAAAAAGCACTATATTCATATGATTTGAGGCATTATATAATATGTTAAAGTCAAACCAGGACAATTCTAGACTCAAAATCGGCCTAAAATGTGCCAAAAAAACTTTTGTTAAAATCATATGACCATGCTAATGTTCAAACTGAACTTACATTTTTGCAAAACAGTTACAACAATGGCATCAACAGTGGCACTGGCAAGGGCATCAGAGATGATCCAGACAAGCCAATACAGTGATCAGATTATATACAGAAAACTAAAGTCTGTATGTAAAAAGGGTGAAGTGCTCTAGACCTCCTATTGATCTAGTAAGCCTAAAAACAATCAGGAATAGTTGGGCGGTCCTGGTTTGAACACAGTCATACATTTGCTACCAAGTGTTTTGTGCATGTTAATCTTCTTAAACCAGCATGTAGAACACAAGACTCGGCCGTGCTGTATTCGACATACAAACACGTCATGTACGAGTGCGTTCCATGGTCTGTTGCACTCACATTACTCACTAGTGTAGTAGCCAATCAGAGGCCATGGTTTAAGCCAGATACAACACTCGTCGCTGAGCTGTACATAAAAAATTACTTGTGTATTGTCGAGCCGCAGACAGCACAATACACTTGTAATATTTTACTTACAGCTGGGCGACGAGTGTTGTATCTATCACTTACCAAAAATGTAAGGTAAGAGACAGCTGGCAGACTGGAAGTTACAATAAACTTGAAGGCCACAGAAGTCAACAGGAGGGTCAGTGTCACACCAAGTCGGTCATTAGGAGATGCTCTATTTACAGTGAATGATGCAAATGTGAGCAACATAATACAGAACTGAAAATATAATATGAAAAATAATGAATCTTTTAATAAATGCATCTGTTATCAACAACTCCATAATCAAAATACTTTGATTAAATCTACATAGAGAGCTATTTTCAAAATCGCTACCCATGTAAAATCAAACTGTATAAAAATATATATAAATATGTTTTTTTAATCTTTCTATATCAACTTACATACTCACCAAAACCAAGAAAACATTCCAAAAATAAAAGCCTGCTCTTCTCGTAACTTGCACTCCACTTTCATACATAGGGTACACACTTTGATCCCATGATACATGATTATCTGATGAGTTATAAGTGATCTTCTGACTATTCACATAGCACTTCAGTACCCACTGCTGCCTTGCTGGTTAAGAAAAATATCTAAGCTAAAAAATCAGCATTGTTTAAGAACATTTTTCTCATTTAAAAACCTAATATGCATTAACATTGTTTATATAATTACTGGCACTGGTGATAACCATGATGTTTCTCATTATGTGTTAATCTTAAAAGGCATCTGACCTGACCTTTAAAGAAAAAGAAAATACCTGAGAAGTTATCAGTCCTGATTTTATCAATATTGGTCATACTTTTCTCAAACTCCAGCTCAGTGTTGGGCCAGTCAGACATTAGGCGCAGAGTAAGATTCTATAGTCACAATGAGAAATATTGAGATTAAATGCATGCAGCAATACTGGTACTTCTTTTTTTCCCAATTATTTTAAGCCAAATTACAAATAAATTTCTGATTGATGTATGTAATTCTACAAATACTTAAACAAATTATAAAACTGAAATACATCATACTGATACATATATCTTTCAGAAATTTAGCAGGAATCATAAGCAACATAATAAAAAGAACAAAAAATGAATAAAATTACATTAACTTACAAAAGTAAATAATTTTTTAACCACCTATTAACTGGTGACAGAAAGTAAAAAAAAAAAAATTAAAAGTTTATGACTAGAAATTAATATTCATATGCAAGAATATTTGACTTATTTTTGACAAATGAGAAGAGTTCATGTCCCCCCATACTGTCTTACCTGATAATCCAGAGGAAAATCAAACAGTTCCAAATTTTCTTTGAATGTTGCATTGATTCTTATACCTGATTAAAAAAATTCAATAGCATAGTTAAACATGCAATCTCTCTTTGCTTTGCTTTACACATTTATTGCATGAATAACAACATTCTGATCACAACTGCATAATTTGTAATTCTGTTCAGCAAAAATCATTACTTGTCCACTGAGAAACTCAGCTTTACATAGAGCCATTTGATAACAGATATCTGCAGACTTCATCATTTTCTTTATTCAGCATCAGATCTGCAGTAGTACCGTTGACGGATATGCATCAACTTACCTAATATCACAACTGGAATGCCATCCCCATCTTCATATGTCAGCTGATGCATTCTGTTCTTTTTGTACGTGGACACCTCATTTATGACCACGATGCGTGGGTCCCAGTGTTCATCCCAGTCTACATCCTTTTGTTTGTGAAAACAAAATAATATCTTCATTATATTCAAATATATATATATACAACGTATATATTTTGTATTTTATTAAGGGTCTAAGTCAAGTTCTACTGCATATATATATATATACTCACACACACACACACACACAAACACACACACACACTTCAGCAGAAAGCAATGAGAAACATTGTATCAAATCATTTTCACATACTGCACATATTTGTCAGCCAAAATTACTTCCTTTTGAGTATTTCCACATGCATTTTACACTGATTGAGGACACCCTAGGATGATTACAAAATATGGCATGATTTCTACCCATTTTAAAATTCTGTGCTGTTTCTGGATAACTGCACTAAGGACTGACCTGTGTTGACACAAGACTAAGATCAGCTGGTATACTACCATGTGAACAGTGTTTTGACTTGATCTTGATCTTAGATAGGTTTAAAAGTGTAACATTTAAAAACAAACTTTCAAATTGAATTAAAAAATTGAACTGAAATAAGGACTATAACTAGCAGATCTTGGGGAAATTATGTTTTATTTATTTATTTGTTTATTTAATTTTTTTTGTCATCACCAAAGCAAATGTTTGCAAATCAAGTTTTACTGTATGTGCTTTTGAAAAATTATTTAATTGTTCTTTTCATATAACCCATATTTGCTGTATATGCTTTTGAAAAATTATTTAATTGTTCTTTTCATATAACCCATATTTGTCAACCAAATTTCCTTCACTTTACCTATTTTATAAGTACCTTACTCTGCATTGGAAAATCCTAGGACTAGAAAGATTTTTTCAATAGTGAGGAATCAGTAAAACTATGTATGGCTATCTGTATGCCAAATTTCAATTCCCTAGTACACATTTTTACTCTGATTAGAAATAAAAAGGAATTACCTTTGCATCTAACTGTGAGCCATCTTTCTGCACCAGTAACGGCTCCTTCCACCTTGCCTCAATGTATACATCAGCTGAAAACTCCTGGTGGGCATCATTGATGTCGCCTACTGCAATAAAACTGGTTCTCAATTCGACAACCACCTAGAAATATAATATCATGCTCAAAACTCGAAAATTGAATTATAATGCTCATTTTTGCCCCAGACGTCATTGTGCTCTACATGTAGCTGCCTAAAAAAAATTAACCTTAAATGCTAGGCAGGTAAGGCCAAAAGGCTGGCATATGTAAGATCGAAAACTGAGGAAAATGCCAAGTAAGCTAGCGGGCCTTCTGCTTCAGGGGCCTGATACTATTACCGAGTATACGGTGTAACATCACTTAAAGAGAATTCCACATCTGATATGTTTGGATTGACACAGCTCATTTAAAAGCAATCTAATCGGAAACCAGTCAGCAAGAGTCACTATAGTGGACACCTACCTTTTCACCACCAAAATATTTTCTATTTCTATGTATTTTTTCACCATCTGTTGTATTTTCCACTATCTTCAGAAGAAGAGCAGTCTGTTTTCTTTGCTCCTCTATCAGCTGAAGTGCTTGTTGTTTCTGCTCTTGTAAAAGATTATCAAGTTGTCCGTCCATTACTCAGCGGTCGACAGGTAATACAATGGGGCATGGCTTCTCTAGTTACCATGGCACAACTGGTCACCGATACAACCATTTTAGCTTGCCCTTTTCATTGATTATTTATAACGTATTGTGCTTTTGTTGAGACCTTGAATTCTGCTTTTGTTACTAGTTTATTTGAATGTGGAAACAATAACAATAAACTTTTCATCGTGAAGTTAAGTCTTAGAATCTAAAGCGCAACTCTTTGTGAGCCATTATAAGCATTATACATGGTTTGACTTCCAAACCAAGTCTATTTAGTAGCATCCATAATATTTTGTTCTATATTAGCATGAGATATAGCGATTCAATGAATGGGAAAGGAAAATGTCAGTTGATCTTGTCTGGACAGTTATGCCCATACCCAAAGTAAAAATTCACAAGTTTATTAAGTATATGATAGAATACAACTTTCTTAAGGTGTGTGTTGGTCTGCTTAAGTAATTTTGCTGCATGAAAGGCATTACAAAACACAAAACAACATCTGTCAAGCCTGAGCTCCATTTTATTCTGATATCTATTTGGTCTTCAGAATACCATTAAAAACACTAATGTCTTGCCCAGTTAAGAAAAACTGGCAGTTGTAGTTCAGTCCCTCAAGAACAATATATACACATGATATATTTCTACTGCAGCAGTCACATCAAAGGTTAAAACTTAAGGCAAGATAAGTGAACAAAAGCCGAGAATAAATTTGAGCACATAAAATACATGCACAGCTCTAATTCATAAATTAGGTAAGGTGGTCAAAATATATACATGTAAATTTGTTTACAGCTTTCTGTACAATTATCTTTATGGTGCTTAAATTAATGAAAATGAATATATTGTAAAATCCTCTGGCGGCACATCAATCTTGCTCTTTCATATGCCTCCATGGCAATGTTATATATCTAGGCTGCAGTAAGCCATGGCGTAACCAGCACATTGCCACATTTAATCACTGACATTTAAAATTTTTCTTACCATACTTCTAACAATTTAGATACATACCACAGACTTCATTTCACAGATGACAACTCATTCAGGTTCATAAGCTCTGCATGTACAATATTCTACACTTCAATAGAAAAGTTTACCGATAAGGAAAATTGAAACAACTCTGCCCTTTAACAATGAACATGGTTAAAAGGAACAATAATTATATCATCTGCCTGGAACATTAAACCATTTTAAACAGCATGATCTGTTCAAGTACATTTTATGTGTATAATCAGTACCATTATTCATACAGAAAATAAGGACTAGATGGCATGCACAGATGACCTGAAAGGACCCTATACAATATATGCAACATAGATGTAGTCTTGATGACAAAAACAAAACAACAAAAACAGCAGACTATACAAACATAGACCTCACTGGCTCTATCACAAGCTCAGCAAGTCTAATAAAATGTTAATCTAATGTAAATGGCCTTGAATAAATAATGCATTCGTATCTTACTCATTGTTTAATTTCTAGTGTTTTCAACCATGACAAAAATCATTTGGAGGTAGCATGATTTCACAAATACATGAGATTTCCACATAAAGAATTAAAATTATGACAATAATTATAATTGTAACCATAAAGCCATGTTCATTAAAACCATGTAACACTATTAAAATATTCTTGATCACTGGAGGGACAAGGCTAGGCTTCTGTCTAAAATACAGAGGTAGAATAAGGCAAGCAAGAGGTCAATCCATGAAATCCTGTATCTATTTCCTGATTAAAACAGTTGTAAGTGCACCTAGGATTTGAATGAGGTTTGTACAGTCCCTGCTATGAAAAGCAGAGGTCCAACAGGTTTATTACCAAATGTTGATTTACCAGGGATTTAGCTGGAAAATTTCATCACTTAATAATCTAAAAGACATAGTTCAACAATACTACTGGGTATGGTTCTCCCACTACTCCATACTATAAGCCTGTCAATCCCTACTATGTGGCAATTAATTTATCTTTTGTGTACCTTTTAACTCAAATAAATATGCACTCACAAATGTCATTGGTGAATCGAATATTGATTTTTTTTCTAGTGATTTCAATTAATTTCTGTAAATAATCCATAACAATGTATCAATAGTGATGATTCTCCTTAGCATGTTTTCCAGTTAAAAATCAATGAACAATTGTTTAATTCTTTGATTTGATAAACAGAAAATAGGTAGAAAAAAGAAAAAAATAAGGGCATCAACAGCACAATCATATCATTTAAACAAAGTCACAAATAAAAGTAACATTCTAAAAACATTCTAAGTATTGTAAAAAAATTGTTGTCCCCATATTATAATTCAATAAAATACATTCTAGGTACTAAAAGAGAAAAGAATTACTACAGAAAAATGTTGGTTAAAAATATGACCTAGAAGTGTGTGTCAGGGCCATAATTATCTTATAATTAATGACTGCTACATGAAGCAATTCCATTAAATTTTTTCTCAATTTGGTGTATTCAAGGTGCAATTCTTTTCAAATTACAAATATCTGTAGACTGGTGTAAATATTTGCATCAGTTTAAATCAAAATCATGTAAAAACCCAAAATAAAGAAATGCTGGTGTAAGTTAAATAATGGTCTGGTGTAAATAATTGGCTGGCTGACTTCACAAGAGAAAGAAAAAGTATAAGAAATTCAATAGCCTGGTCAAATTTATCAGCACATTAACATCACGCATCTGAATTTAAACTTGATTTAAAATATAGAAGACATTAAAATGTCTAATACATTAATACACAATTCCTGACAAAACAAAAAATTGCCTCTTATGTTGGAGCAGTGACCAAAAACAATTAACACCAAGAAGAGCTTTGAAGTTATGACTATACTTGTATCCATTAACGTTTTAAACATAATTTGCTGGCTATAAAAGCTATTAGCTTGGAGTAATTTTGACCATTCATTATCTCTATACATGTCCATCTGAAAAGTATTTAGGAGACTTAGGTGATATGTTCACTAAGGGAGGACAAATTCTCTGTGGTCTAATGCCGGTAGCACTGACAGTGCTGTGCTGGTGTTTTCTATATGGTTCACAGGGCCTGCCTGCTGCTATGCATTACATGTTAAATACCTGCTCCTTCATCCACCCATCCATCCATGTTCATCCAAACTTTCCGTCATGGTTGGACAACTGAAATGTCAGTTCCTGTACATACTAATATTTACACTTTTATGTTCTGTCTCGCTACTTGTACTACTAGCACTGGGTTGACTGGGTGGGTAAGTGAACATTGATATGCCCATTCACCAGCCCATTCATGTGGGCATAGCCCCCACCTCCACTACTACTACTTTTGCTACTGCCTTTGCTCCCCTCATTTGAGTTTATTGCACTTGGGTATGGAATATTCGTGGAGTTGGTGCCACTCGAACGCCGTCTCTTTTTCATTTCATTTTGAAGTGTCTGTTTAATGCACTCGCAAGAGACGCTTTTGCCACTTTTTGATTCTGTGTCCGAGTGATTTTCAAGGTGATTCTCGGTAATGTTGATGTTACTAAGGTTAATGTGGATGTCCTCTTCTCCACTGTCAGTCTCTTGCTGAGAAGATCCATGAGGATCAGTGAGGGGCTGCTGTGAATAGTCAGCTTCCATGTAGTCTGACGCAGTCTGCCTTCGTCGAGCACCTGGCGAATTTTCAAACACCTCATCATCATCTCCCCATGTGTCTTCATGTGTAGACTGATATGCATTTTCCTCACTGTCAAAGAAGGACACTGCATGGAAAGAATCGGGCAGGTCTTGGGAAAGATGCTCCAAAATTTGGCAAAAAGTTGGCCTCTGCTTTGGATAATATTTCCAGCACTTCAGCATTATTTTATATCTGAAATAAATAGACACTGATGAAATCTGCACTCTTCTTGCATTTTACTTTTGCCATTTGTGTATGTTGGGAAACAAATGATACAAATTCAGCAAAAAGTGAAACAGAAACATCTCTGAATACCGAAAGCATTGCTTACTTTTTTCATATCAAGAAACATCCCTGTGGCCTTTGCATTTTTCTTAAAATCTATACAAAACTTTACAAAGTATAAAAGCATATAAAGCAAACATGTAATGCCATCCTGTTTGGTGATGTAAACTATATCCTCCTTTTGTTTAATCCTGTATAACTTACAACTTGTCTGGGCATCCGTCTGGTTTTGGAATGATGTGTCCATCAATGACATATTTCAGGACTTGTTCGTTAGCAAAGCCTTGGTATGGCTGGGCAGCTAGGGTACTCATTTCCCATAACACTACACCAAAAGACCTGTGGAGAATGAATGAATAAAGAATGAATAACTAATTCTACCTGTTCTCATTCTGAAATATTACTTACATTAAACAGTTTTATACTAAAACATGTCTACAGATGAGGATGAAGGGAGATTAACAGGGTCACCTTCATTTCATATATTCTCTATCTACTTGTTGAAAACAAACTGTCTAGAGAGATTAATATAAAACATGTACTTCCTGTTTGAAGAGATTTGCATTTCTCAAAATTTACAAAGAAATAAATGTAGCAAAAATAAATAAGGGAAATATATAAGAAACATATTCATAGGTTACTTCCTTAGCATCACTCACCACACATCGGATGCATTAGTAAATATGCCATCTTTCAATGACTCGGGTGCCATCCACCTCACGGGTAACAATCCCTTTCCACCTTTTCTATAGTAATCTGTCTCATAAATATCTCTGGTCATTCCAAAATCTGAAAGAAAATATGTTTATAAACAGTGACTAGACTTCATGAAAAATGTTATTCAATAAACATTCATGTATAAACATTCTTTGGAAAAAAAAAAGGTTAAAAAAATATTCTCTTACAAGGAGCATGCAACTATCCTGCTGATCAAAAGTTTGAGAGAGAGAGAGAGAGAGAGAGAGAGAGAGAGAGAGAGAGAGAGAGAGAGATTACGTTATACAGTGAAAATGTTTACCTCCTATTTTTACAGTCATATTATCTGACACCATGCAGTTTCTGGCTGCTAAATCTCGGTGGACAAATTTCTTGGCAGATAGGTATGCCATTCCATCAGCTATTTCACCAGTCATTCTTAAGATTTCTGGAAGATCTGGTGGCTGACGCCCCTCGTTGTCCTGTGGAGACGTAAAGGCATCATTCATAAAATGTCAGAATAAGGAAAAATCAAGTTTAAACAAAGTATTAATATAGATAAATCCACGTTTTGTTAAATGGATGAAGACATACTGATGCTTTTCTTTACTGAAGTTTTATCTATTATGTTGAACAACCATTTTAAGTTAGAAACCCTCTTATTTCTAAATAACCACATAATAACATAACTATATATTTCTTATTTTTCACAGGTGCAGACATATACACTGACCGGTTCATCAGGCCGATGTTTCCGAAGGAAATTTTTCAGATCTCCCACAGCCATGAGCTCCATGATCACCAGAGTAGGCTGCCCCTTGGACACCACACCCAGTAACTTCACCACATGGTGGCAGTTAAATGCCTTCATCACTGATGCCTCATTCAGAAACTCTATGCGGTCACGAATTGAGGCATTTTCATTTACAGTCTGGAAACAAACAATTGTAGCTTTCACGTCACATTGGCACAAAATCCATCTATTAACTGCACTCTCTTTTATGCGTGTCAAATTTGATAATTGATAATTTTGACTCATTTTTGTATATAATTTCTGATAAAACCAAACTTATATAAAACATGTTTAATGGTGTAAGTATGCAGACTTAGCGAGTCCTTACCTTCACTGCCACTCGTACTTGTGGCTCTCCCTCTACTATTTCTTTGGCTATACCCTCATAAACCATACCAAAAGATCCCTGGCCAAGCTCTCGAATAAGGGAAATTTTGTCACGGTCCACTTCCCACTCATCAGGTATGTATACTGAGCAGATAAATAATATCATTTTATAACCATTTTAAAAGCTTCTAATTTACTTTACTGTCTTCTTATCTAACCAAAATCACAGCCTAGTTTAAAAGATAACAACTGTTTGTTTGGCCAAAACATGAATTTTTCAGGGGTAAACGATAATTTTCCCATAATAACCAATGATTAATGAATCCATTTTCACATTCAAAATAAGTCCCTGTTTTTTTCTAAAAAGTTTTTTTTTTTTTTTTGTTATAATCTCTTACGAGATTATTACAGAGTACAGCCATCTTTGGAGGTCACATGGTTCAATGACAGGCACAAATTTTCAGAATTGCTATATAACTGCCATTTTTTTGTGGTAAAAAAGAATAGATTACATTTCTACGAATTGTTTACAATGTATTTATTGTGAAATATAGATCTCATACTAAGAGTTGTTATCCTTTTAAAGTCAGAGAATTTCCACTGAAATATACCCCTTTCAATTTAACACAAACAAGGCAGCAAAGCTGTCAAATGTACAGACAAAAAACAGAAAACATTGATGCAGAAAATAGGCTACTGTCAATTCTGATGCAATAATACATTGTGCTTAACTGCAAAGTCAATATCAAATCTAATTATGCACAACAAGTGACACTGACATAAGTAATGTGTGAAGCAAGCATAAGGCTTCAAGTCCATGACAGTTCAAGTTCACACTTAGAAAATGCCAGAATGAGAAAATTGAAAATTTCACAAAAAATTTCACAAATCCAATAAAACAAATGATAATCCAAAAAGAGCTGGTTTTCCAATTTGAGCTGTATGTCAATCCTAAGAATCATTCTTGCAAGTTAAAAAATGATAAGAAACGCATCTGTGTCTTTACATAAAAAGTAAATCATGTGATAATCAAATTTCTGTAAATTGAAAAATATTAACTAATACAGTGTGTGACAAAGAGCTTTTAGGAGTAATGATTGTAATAATAGCATCATCCATAACATTTTTCCTGAATGTTTGGGGTGGTGTGTAAATGTTTTGGATGTGACTGCATGTGGCAGTGAAATATATATGACTCACCATCTCCAGCACTGAGGTACTCCGGATTGCAAGATGTGTACAGGGCATCCACTGGCAATTGGTTTTTCTTCAGTCTAAAATAAAAACAGTCACCTTTAAATAGCAGTGTTTCAGAGAAAAAAGGCATAATGTATTTCTTTTTGAGATAGATCAACAACATCTGACAGCATCAAAGGCTCATTATTTTGGTAATCAATGGGAAGAAAAAAATAATTACTTATCATAGTTTCAAAAGAAGTTATGTGAAAGGGATTAATAAATATGCAAAAATATTGACAGGCTGTGTAGCTGCCAGGATGTTGGCAGTAGATTTTACACTAGTTATCTTTGAATAATTATCTCTATCGTACAAGGTATTGAATGTCACATGCATGTTACAGTCTTGAACGTGAACAAATAGTTTGGCCAGCAAATTCAAAGTGTGCTGACTAACCTGTATTTGACAAAGAGCACCCCAGAAGTTATCACAACTATCACCACCACTATCACCACTGATACCGAGATGATGGCTATGTTGACTGGGGACATGAAAGTATCTGCAGCAGCTGCAAGTATACAAAAATATACACATTTTAACTTTTAAAAAATACTGGAACATACTCATTTTGAAAGAGATTATGGGAAACCAAAGTTAAATCACAGACATACCATAGACACTGCAAACGCATTTTGTCTGTAATGTCAATAAAATTAAAGCTAATCACCTGATTTCCCTAAACAACCTGTGAGACCTTTTCAAAGAGCACTTCAGCTAAATTAACTCCATCATGTGTCACTCAAAAGGGAAAATAAAGCTCTTTACACACAAATTCCCTTCATGTAACAACCCACCTGGTTTAGGAACAATAAAATAATGCAGGTCTGAGCAGGAGTCATTGCTTGTACCAGCTAAGGAAGTGGAACAGACTTTGACACTCCAGTTTCCTGGTGTCAGCTTGCCTTTTGCCCTGTAGCCACCAATTTCTCTGTACTTCTTGTGTGGAATACAAGGGCTTTTCACCTCTTCAGGTTGCTATTATAAGGAAGAAGAAGAAGCGTCAACAAAATTTTTCTAGCAAAAATTCTCTTCTAAACAGATATAAACTATATATAAAACTGGTATTTTTTTTACTTGTGGTATATATACATAATTCAAAAGAGAAACATAAAGGAGACATACCAGCACATTTTGATATGTGATTGTGTATGTTAGCAAAACACCATTAGGGGTTGGAGGGTCAGACCACAGAAATAACACCTCCTGGGAACTGTTCACCACCACTTTCACAGAATCCACACGATCTGCCATCCCTGGAAAGAAGGAAAAGTACTTTATAATATGCTTTCATCGAAGTTGCTGATCCCAGTGTATCCTAGATTTAATGCAGCTTTAATCAAAGCTGTTCAGCTACAATAAAAAATGCTGTTAAGTTACAAATTTCAAAATAACAGGAACAAAGTGAGTCTTGAGAAACATTGGAATTTCATTTTCATCGTTTATCGTTTATTTGCAAGGAAACCGAGGTAAAAGCCTGTTTTCACTTACTTGATGCCCTGGTTCTCTTATTAGCAATAGCTTTACTGCTGCATAACTTTTTTCTGGTCGTTTCATCATATTCTTGACATGCAATTATCTGTAAAAAATCACATTAATTTACATCTTAATGAAAAACAGTTATCAACCATCAAATAATATACAAATCCTGCAGGGTCTATATTTGTATAAAACTCTGTGAAAGCCATCAACTAAACCTCCCACAACACAAACTTCAGACAAATTTGACTCACCTCAATCCTGTAGAAGGTGAAATGTTTCAGATTTGGTAGTACAATCCTCGTGCCCCCGTATACAGTAGATGTCTTGTAGACTGCATCTGTGTGGTTGTGAGGCACCACAGTGCTAGAACTAGTTGGGGAAACAGATGTCACATCCTCTGATGTTTCATTGGTTGGTGGAAGCTGGTCTGAATTCCTTGGAAAAGTCCTTTCAAATTCTCTTTTATGGCGTCTTGAAATTTTATTGAGTGGATATTCATTTTCTTTGCCCATATTTTCATTAAGCTCCCTTTTGACTTCTTCGAGCAACTTTTCTAATTTTTCTAGTTCTTTCTTTTTGTAACCTAAATCATCCTTTTCAATTTGGTCTCTAACATAGCGCTGATGAGTTTCTCTTTTCAGTCTCTTTGTTGTCTCTTCAGTCTCATTCACTTCATTTTGATTCTCGGGCCTAAAAAACAAGAATATGTACTTTTTATATATCTGTTAGCTACCAAAGAAACCTGCTTACAAAGCACCATCAATTTAGCTTCAGCATACAACTATGACAAACAAACCTAATAACACGCTTTTATTTTTACAAATAATAAAAATATTTAAAGAATAAGTTTACAATTTATAACAATTGACAAAAAGCAAAACAATTATCATTAAAATACAATTCAAGCATGGNTTTTTTCTTTTTTTTTTTAATTTAATCAATGTCTTCCATTACAGATTTTCTTTTCTTTTCTTTTTTTTTTGCCGTCCTCTTCAGCTTGCTTTCTTTTTCCCCTCTAAGTAATTCTGATATCTTTGTCTAGCACTCCCTGAAGACAACAGTAAGGCTGTTGTAACTGGGGCATTGCTTAATCCTCCTAATGAATGGACATGGTCGCATATCACTCCACTTACCTACATTGCTAAGTGTAAGCATTACTTTCAGATTAAATCACTGTGATCAGCTATAAGCACAAACAAATTATTCTTGCGATATTGCATTGAATTAAAACAAACTAAACAAAAGTCGGGAATCCAAGTTAAAAAACAATTTCTTCATACTAAAGAGGTACATTTCTCCCAAGACAAGACAACATCGTTTTTCCCTGTTATGTTTTACCAAGACAGGACAACATCGTTTTTCCCAACTTCTGGGGAAAACTGTTATATATCGACAGACTGTTATATATCGACGTTAAAAAACGACCGACTCGAATTTTGTTTTTAATAATCATAAATGATTTAAAAAGTTCGTTTTTTTATTTTTCAAGCATAATCAAGGGTTTTCAAGGGTTTATTTTTATTTTCCAGGGTTTTGCTCCATTTTCAAGCATATTCAAGGGCTTGATTTTAGAAAATAAGGGTTTTCAAGGGTTTTCAAGAGTTGTGCGAACCCTGCAATTATCATTAAAATACAATTCAAGCATGGATACTGTATCATCATACCTTTTTATATACACTGCACCATGTAAGAAGTTCTCAAATTCAATTTGCATGTTTCGATTGCGTTCATCCTCTTTTGTAGCCTTTTCTGACTTGGGACAAGCACAGCAAGTTTCTCTGTCACAAACACCAGTGATGTTGGGTTTCTTTTCCTGTTCTGTCTCTTTTTCATTTGTAGTGACATCCAAATGCTGTGCTTGTAATGCTGAAAAATTATTAGAGCTTATTAGAGTATTAGAGCTTATTTGTTTGCAAACTAGGAATATTTGGCACTAGTCCTGCTGGATTATTGATGCTGTAGAAGCAGTGCTTGTGTTGGAGTGCTGGGTCATGATTTACTACTACTGTGATACAATGTTCTTTACAATGCTTGTTAGGTACCCACTTCTGAAAATTGTCTGCCAGCCAAGTTTATAACACACTTACTGTCTATGCAGTAATTCCTGTCATCGTATTCCTCCTTGTTGATCTCTGCTATTGTCCAATAGACCATGTAATGTGTAACATTGCCATTAGGTTTGTTTGGCGGTTTCCATGTTACTGTCAGTTCCCCCTCCATGGTGGCTTCCACTTCAACATCAACTGCTGGTGTAGGAGCTGAAACCAATTATGCATTGATAATTAACCAACATCAGGGGATAATTAAACAGAAATGCTCTCACACACAAATCTTCTGGAGAGTGCGATGAATTTTTGTAAAATTGGAAAAAAATATTACCTTGCTGGAATTTTACTAAAATTTCGCACAATTTCAATAAAAACATGCAAGAAATAAATGATGTGACTGTAATATCAACCTAAATCTAAAAGCATGCATGCGCGCGTGCGTGTGCAGGTACACTACACTGGGTAACAACAATGGGTTATCATCTTTGAAAGTCTGTCAAATTATTCCTGGGTATTTTGATGTTACTTACAGTCTGGTCTTGTGGTGAAGTACATAATATTACTAATGGCTCCTTTATCTGCCACAGCAATGGTATAAGTCTGTACATAGACAGCATATAAGGTCCACGGCTTCAGGGGAAAAAGGTATTCCATCAACTGGGGCTGCATGTCATTCAAATTAGGTTCTCTTTCTTTAGTCATCCAGCTGAAACAATGAACAGTATTACAGTAAGGCACTTTTTTATGTTGCCATTGTTTTTGCTCATCATATGGGTCTAATTATAGTCAATCTAATGTGACAATGCTGTTGTTTTCTCTATTAACTTCAAACAGTGGACTTGTCTAAAATATCAAAAAATTAACTCTCATGTTAAAACTTACACATCATCACTGCAGGCATCCCTGCCACTAAGAATGCTCACATTCTTCTCAGATCTGTAAAAAAGATAATTACATATTAATATAATCAATAATTTTTTTGATAATTTCAATACAAGCACTTTCCAGAACCACATATATCATTCTAAACATACAAAGGCACTAAAGTTAAATGAAATTTAATTCTATTATGGAACAATTTAGTCTACTTGAGATGTCACATCTCCCTTGTGAAACTTCAAGAGATGCACTGTCTCAACTAGACTAAATGTTAAGCCCAGTAACAGATTAAAAAATTAACTTAAATAAAAAAAAATACAACAGGATGGTATATCTATATCCTGTTATACAAAAGTGCTAGTAACAAACAATAATATTAGTTTAACATAGGTCAAAGTGAAATTAAGCACCATTTTAGAACATCAGAAGTGAAAATGCCTTCAAAAATAGTATGCCTAAGGTTTCAGGCCTACCATATAATTACCTATAAAAACTAGCATACTGTCACAAAATTCTAGAGAACAATATCCTTAATCACAATCATTTAAAATCAGAGTTACCAGCTGTAACTTTAAGATATATATATATATATATATATATATATATATATATATATATATATATATATATATATATATTGCCCAAACAGTTTACTCACGTTTCTCTATAGTTGATGACGTAGGATAAAAGTGTGCGTGGATCACTAGGCTTGAAGTTATCAAATGCTATGACAGCTGCCACAGTTGCTGTTTTAACTAACTCAATAGCCATACGCTGGACAGAGCCTAGGTAAGTTTGCAATTAATAAGGCACAGCATTATCCACTGATCATGCTAGCGATGACATTGCACAGAATAGGGAATATGTCAATTTTAATGCAATATTATGTTAATATAATGTTTAACTGAATTATCAATCCAATTCCTCATTATATAATAATATTAATCTAAAAAATAAATACATAAGAACATTTTAATGCAAGTATCAGAAAAAAGCATCATGAATTAAAATATCCCTGGATATCAAGTGATCATTACTTTTTTGCTACTTACATGTAGCCTGATCTCCATTAGAACTTAACGAAATGTCCACCTCATCCATGGAGACATTGGTGCCAAATGTGATGGAATCCTTCAACTCATTGATCTTACTTAGACACAGCCGTCTGTTGAAGTGGAAGAACATTTTTCCTTTGTCCACAGTCAATTTTGGATGAAGAGTTGTATTCCATATTTCACGGAGGTTCTGGTTGTCCAGAATGTAGAGGGCATACCTACACATAATGAACAGACTGGTTAGAGCAAATTAAGGGGAATGAGTTCAATCTAACATGACAAAATATGAATCATAACAAGACAAAAAGGTTTGTACACTTACAATATTTTAAAAAACTTACTTATCATTCTTTAGTGTGTTTCCTCTTATTCTTTTCAAGCTTCTCAGAATATCAAGAGAGTACAAGGCATAGGAATGGGAAACCTGCAGTGATCCTGTTATTTCCTCTATCATCCCTAGGCCCTCTTCCAAATATGTGGCTATATTTTCTGTAAACAGAAAATCTCTTTTAAGCATAACAGACTAATTTCACCATATCACGGATTTGATTGGACTATTGTATTCAAGATTGTTTTTTTTAGAAATTGCAGGCAGTATATCTAATTTATTACAATATATGTATTCAGGATTTTCCTTAGAAAATGCAGACAGTATATCTAATTTATTATTTTTTTTTAATATCTCTATTTGTGACATCATAAGAGGTTTTTAGGACTACTCTCTGCTATATTCTTTCCACAATGTCATTGATTTTCTTTTTACAATATTTCTTTAACAAGTTGGAGTTTCAAGCACTTACTTCCACCCATGACATTTAAAGTGAGATCTCCATTTATAATAGTACATCCTTTAAGTCTCTCAGCATCTGACACACTGTTCACTCCAGCCTGTGTACATTCTGAAATAGCATAAAGTAATTTTCATTATTCTTTCAGCAAATACATATGATAGTCATAACTAATTTGAATTCCTATACTTTTTGTCAACTATGGTGCCAAAGCAAAGGATTTTAAGTTCTGGGGTTTCACAAGATCAAACAGTTAAATTAATACTGCTTAAGTATGTTCTCATCAGTTGTTTGACCAAGGTTTTGACTAAGAGCCATGATTAATCATTTATTAGTACAGTTTGTTTTTATTATAAATCTCATCACCTCTGATAACAACACCACAAAAATTGGAAAGAATTCTCTTACCTTTAGGACACTTCCCTGGACACTGTATACACCTGTAGGGATCCTGCGGGTCGGTTATAAAACCAACAGGACATTCACGTATGCATTTCCCATCATGCATTTTCCAATTTATTTTACGTATACCGTAACGGTCTCCAAAGCTCTTACACTCATATATATTGATGCACCGCCTGCCTTCATACTGAAATGAGATGAATAAGTAACATGAAAATTCTCTTGGTGATTTTCAATATATTGCCCTGAACTTAGTATTAGGTAATCCTTCAATGTTTACTAGAGGAGCAGAACAAAACAAAGATCCTAATCTTTAAAGTGATTCATCAGTAACTGAGAGGGGATATACAAGCTGAAATGGCCTTAACATTTTCCTTGGCAATCACCAAATTTGACTTGCATTATTAATGACTCAGCAAAAATTGTACTAGAAAATGTTTAATAAACAAGGCAGCAAAGCTGTCAAATGTACAGACAAAAAGCAGAAAATAATAATTCACAAAATAGAATACTGTCAATTCTGATGCAATAATACATTATACTTAACTGCAAAGTCAACTTCAAATTTTAATTATGCACAACAGGTAATACCGATGAAAGTAAAGCATAAGGTTTCAGGCCCATGAGAGTTAAAGTACACACTTAGAAAATGCCAGATTGAGAAAAATGAAAATTTTACAAAAAAAATTGCATTAAACCAATAAAAATGATAATCCAATAGAGCTGGTTTTCTTATTTGATCTGTATGTCAAGAAGAGTAAGTGACATGATTTTTCTTTAATGGTCACTATGAAGGCAGTGCCTAAATTGGGATTTCTTCAAATTTGATGCAATATTACATAATGCATAACAGCATAATGGCCATCAATTATTAATAATAAACACTTATTTACAAGAAAAGGTATAACTTCACCAAAAATTAACCGATCAAGCTTATTTTCGAACTCAATCCGTATTTCAGTAAGACTGATAACTCATGTGAATTTCAAGACAATTGGCCAATCAATTTTCCTTGAAATGTGTTATCGGTGCTGCATACATGCTGAAAAAATTAAAAAATAGCATAACTTCCATAAAAATGGCCCGATCACGCTGATTTTTGAACTTGACCTGCGTATTATGAATACTCATCAGTTCTGTTTCAAGCCAAAAGGTAAAACGGTTTTTCACTTATCGTGTTATCGGTGAAAGTGCATGGCGACGACGACGATGACGACAGACGCAGGTGACACCTATATGACATGTTTAAAGCACTTTCCTGTCAAAAGACAATAGGTCGCGCCATGCTTTATTTTGTGTAAAGTCACGTCATCCACGCACCAGTGCACAGGGTTAATTACTCGTGCTTTAAGCCAGATAAAACCTTCGCCTCGCCAATTATCTGCTCAATTTCGTGTAAAGCTCAGCGCCTTGTACTTTATCTATACCATAAAAACATGTACTGACGAACAGAGGCACACTTTAAGAAGTCACGGCTCACTGGACTGCACTGGACTGGTATTACAATGGCACCAATTTAAAATGATTTACCTCTAGTAAGCCTTGGCCACATTTGGCTACACAGGTGCCTCTTATGTTGACATGTTTGCATGCAGCACACTGGTGAAGAGCGCTACCATTGCAGGTCCCCAGGCACTCCCGATGACAACACTTGGGTTGGTTGGAGCCGGGTGGGTAGTAACAGGCATCACGGCAATTATCTGGGCAGACTAAAAGAAAAAATAATTACTGTTTAGTCAAGAAATCTGAAACCAGATTGTGTTAAAAGAAAAATTCAGATATTGAGTTTATGTTTATGCCTTGTATGGGGAAAAATAACTGTTTTTTTTTCTTCCTTTCTTCCATACTGCATTAAAATGCAAAATAAACACATTAGATTTTTAGGGCCAGAATATGCAATAATGCCAAATGATACTTAAAAACTCCTTCTAAAACTCTTACTTGCTTTTTTCTCATTCTCTTGTGTTTTCTAAAATTGCTTCAAAGGCAAAAGAAAACAATACCATGTTTTCCAGTCAATCCCATCATCTCAGTATGTAGAAATTCAAGTCTTTTGTGTTTTCTCTACTGATTAAATTTGGGTGAAGGCTTAATAAAAAAGAAATCTGAGAAATGATTTACTGTTTCAAAAAATGTGCTGCCTTATTGCCTTGGAAGTATGATAAATTATCCCACCAGCACCGTGGTTTCTGTTTTAACAAGTTGTATCAATCTTATTGTGCATTCCTGCTAAAAATGTGAGGAATATTATGGATTGCTTGTTGACAACTGTAGTTTGCTTTCTGCTTTTACTGCTGTTGGCTGTAGCAGAAGAATATGCTTATTAAAAAAAAAAAAAAAAAAAAAAAAAAAAAACATTTGATAACCCCATTGGCTAACTGAGAAAAGTTGTAAACATATAACCGTGGGCTATACAGGGTGTAGTTTATAAGTTAAAAGAAAAAAAGGATGCTGTCCTTAAGGGATTCATTTTCCAACAAACTACCTTGAAATGCTTACATCAAAATAATTGTAATGATTTAAATTAAATCCTCTTTATGCTACCAAAAATTTGACATTTCATTAAAAAAAGAAAAAAGAGAAATGAATGTTTCAATTAACGCTACTTTAGTCCTTCCTGCTACACTTTTAAGAATGCCCTTCCTTCGCATAACATTCAACAAGACATGCGTATGCATACTAATAACATACCCTTTGCTTTTATATAACAGAAATATTCTGATCAGGAAATATTGTGGCTGTTATTCCTTCTCCAACATTACATAAAGACAATATTATTACATTGTTTTTATGTAACAAGTCATGGCACACACACATGCGCACACATGCAATGATAATGTGCAGTTCACACCCACAACATTCAGAGATCAATAACACTTCACCTATTAAGCCCTTGTTTGCATTACCCTTAACATATTTCTACCTTGACCTACAATGCATTCACAAGACTTAATATTCTGTCTGTTTTCAGAAAAACAAGTCACTGCTGACATCTGGTGGCCAAATTAATATGCCTGCAGCAATCATGAATCGATATACTATTTCATCTACCTTGATTTTCTAAATCAGGTGTTCATTGAAATTAAGTGACAATCCATTCAATAAATTTAACTACAACTCTTTGTTTAGTAAATCAAGTTAACAAACATTAATATCATATGGTTAAACTCAATGATGCCAAACCTTAGATTATATAACTGATGACATTTTGATGTTTGTGACAGGTATGACAAACAGCCGTATACATCTTCTTACCTGCTCACTACTACAGAATGCACTAGATATTAGTGTTCATCTTGAAGGTTCTCTTTGTTACCAAACTCATTATCCAGTAAATATTCAAAAGTAAATAAATTACAAACAAAAATGACTATTCACAGACCACATCTTTTGTAGAGTTAATATTTTTTTTAACATCAAGAAATAACCTAGGGCACTTACAGGTAATTGTTTTCAACTCATTACTCATCCAAAACTGCTGTAAATTTTGTGTTTAATTTCCCTACTCAATTATCATCTACCAGTTAATTAAAAAGTCCCAAATGAAACATTTACTGCCAAAGGCAAATACTCAGTAATAGGCAATCCAAGGATCAAAATAATTGTGCTTTCATGTGTGAGCATAAAAAATGTTGCTGTATGTCAGAGGGACAATGTGTTAGTTTTTGCCCCAAAAAAGGAAAAAATTCCTGACATCCAAATGTTTTAAGTACTAACTGAGCATCGTTCTATAATTTTTTTTTCTATTTTTATTTTAAAGATAACATTTTTCTCCACTTGGCTTAATTCAAATGAACAGACACATGCACCAAATCTAATTTTGGGCAGGGTGATCATTTCAGAAGGGAGCCTCCCGAGTGTCTTTGGACAGTAACAGTGGCTACATTACATGGAAATGGGGATATATATAAGGCAATGACAATGTGAAATGGTGCCCCTTTAACACATATGATACCCATGCCTCATAAGCGATAATTGCCATTTGCTATCACGAGCTTTAGATGTGGGAGCACGACTGCCCAAATTTACAACTTGAACCATGAATTAAGTGCCTGAATGTAAAATAAGTAGCTACGAGCACAGTATCAGAGTGCACAAAAGATTTGACCAGCTTACATCCGAGTCTCTGATTGTACACTTAAAGGGGTTCTTTTCCTCAACCCAGGACTATTTTCAATATGGTGGAAGACAGCGATTTAGACCTGTCAGAGATTCCTTGTCAAAAAAGAGTGATGTTTTCTCCTTTTTCTACTTCTTTGACAAAAGAGAAAGGAGTCTTGCCACCTATTCATTATGATACATAAAAAGTCTCAAAACAAAGAAAAAACTAGTTTCAGACCTGTTCGACTTAGGGACATATCCCAATCTCCCTATTCAGACTAAAGATCTCCTGATCTATTACCAATCTATCTTTCCTTTCGTTAAAATGTGCAATGTTTCTAAGACCTGATTCTGAAAATGCAAGCTATTTACTAATACCATATCAGAGACCTTTTTCATAAAAAAAATTTAAGTTGAAAGATTTTTGTCTTTAAGTTAATATGTGAAATAAGATCCAGATGACAAAAAGATTACTAGTAATTAAAATGAACCCGTGAATGATAGCACAAGTTCCTTAACTATCTCATCTAAAAGTGTCCAGTCTCACATTTAGGTAAAGCATCTGCCATTAAAGGAATGAATGCCACTTGCATCAAAACATACCAAATGTTTCACCACTCTTTTCTCCATGTCAACAAGCTAACTCATGGCATGTACTAAAAAACCCAAGCTTAATGGGAAAAAAAAAAAAAGGAAATTAATTAGTTATCTGAAAAATGGCACATCTGAGTACAACATTATGTCCAGAGAGGTGCGGCCACCTCGAGCGTATACACCAAAAATTTATTTTCAACTAAAAAATTTGAAAGAAATACAAGGGTATATCACTTTAAGATTTTGATCACTTCTGATCAAAATAAGACTTATATGATGCAAATTTAGAAAATATTATCTAATTTTAGCTAATTTTTTTTCCAATTAACAAATATTCTTAGAAATACTGTTTCATAGCTGTTTTATTTTTTTCAAAGGTCTGATGTTACTTTAGTAGTTATTATGTGATAGGGTTCTGGAATAAATATTATGTGACATTGTCTACAGCAACAGTTACAATAAAGGGGTTACTAATAGAAAGTACTGGGGTGGGTTTCACAAAGGATTTAGCATGAAAATTGGTCTAAACTTTTAGACCAAAATTTTAGCCTACTTTGACTAAAGATAAATCAGTAGTAGGCCAATAAATGAAACACTGCAACAGTTTATAACAAATAAAAAAATCATTCCCATGGTCCCTCATGTACCAATGATAACAGTTAACATGAATGAATTCTGCACTCTGGAAATAGATCCTGACAGGAGTGTCCCTTGTTAAGTTCCAGGAAATTGGTACTATCTTCAGCAGGATGTCCATTGAAATGGTAATCTATCTACAAGAAAAGAGCCGAGTGCTTGCTAATCATTTTATCAAGTTTTATTGTTTTAGCTAGGTGATGAGACTACCTTTAAGCCCCCGCAATTTTCCATCAAACTATCATTATGACATTTTATGAAAGTAAAAAGGAACAAGTTAAAATTATTAATTATATTTCATAATGCTACTAGTTAGTTGAAGACATTGTGTGCGAGTAAAATAATTGATGAGTGATTTTGATATTAATAAAACACATTTTTTATATAAAAAAACAAGACAGCTTCAAGCCTTGGGAGTGAAAAGTATCTTTCAGAAATCCATGGAGATACCTTATTTTATAGTCTATGATTACTTATTTCAGTTTAAGTGCCCCTTAAATCATAGGCAAGGCCATTAAAAACCTTGTTTACTCCACAGGAATAGTTGTAAATTTTTATCAAAACTATCCCTTAGCTAAAACAAATGGTGAAATAATATATAACAAAGTACCCTACATATTGGGTTTACCTTGATGTGGAACTATTAAACATAGCCTAATCTAAATGAATCTAAGCTTATTGGTACATTACCAAATAACCACATAGCACCTGCAAAATAACAGACATAGTTTCCAGCAAATTTTTGAAGATTTATTATGAACTAGATCAGTTCCCACATGGAAAAATTTAACTTTGTTGATTTTTTTCTGATAACAACGCTAACTTATCTGGATGGGTATCTTGTGTTTCATAAAAAATACATTCAAGAAATATTATTTACAAAAATAAGGTCAGAATCTTTTTGTCAGTAAGATATTAAATCATCATAAATGTTTAAATCTGATATAAATTGAAAATCTTCACCTACTTTTTTGACAATCTCTCTTGGTCCAACAGTGCTTCACAACTTTTCCATCATTCTCTTCTGTAGGACACCGGCCAGGGCAGTCAGCTTCTGCTGGACAATTGTCGCTAGTTGGATTATTTCTGAAGTGGTGAATTCCATTTGGGGCTATTTTGTTCCAGTCTACAGTCTTTAAAAAACAAAGCTTTGGATTGTCTTCAAAACGTACTGCACCTCTGGTGATGGTAGTTAGACTAACAAGCCCTACCTCTTCCAGTCCAAACATTTCATATCCAACCAGAGCATAGTCAAAAAATAATTTCTTCCCACGGATGACAGTTAAATTTGGAAAAATATTTCTTAATGTCCTCATTCCATTCACTCTGTAGAGTAATACATAGTCTGTCACTTCTACTAGCTTTGGAAAATGCAACTTTTCGAAATCTTCTGGATTTCCATCAATCAGTAAAATCTGCAAGTATCCCTCTATGACTGTACAGTTTTCTAGACTCTTTTGGAACATGGACACATTGTTGCGAATATCAACACTCTTGCAGACTGAAAAAAAGTGGAAAAAGGATATATATATTTTTCTTAAAATAATTTTAATAAAAAATTGAATATCATTCGAAACAGCTTTATCATATCATGAGACACAGCAGAGTTTCATATTTTAATTTTTATTTCTAAAAAGATGATTAATTTATTTTATCTACCATTATTATTAATATTATTATTATTATTATTATTCTTTTTTTTTTTGCCAACAATGTTCTTTACATGTATACCAAGATACAAAACATACATGAGTAATGGAACACTGGCAACATGGCAAACAAACAACAAAACAATTGCCTTGTAATGGTTACTTTACTTTTCAGGTGGTTACCAAACACTACGAAGCTATCAAGTAATACTAAGGTGCCATTAAAAAATTTTCACCTGAGAGTTAAGTTGCCATTTGGAGCCCATGACTTTAATGCAACTAATTTCAGTTTTACTTGATTGCAAAAGGAAAACAATGATTCAAATTACTTAAAAATAACACCCATTAATTCTTACTAGCAAACAAGCCTCTAAGGAAGCAGTGTTGTGGCTACATAAAGATGCATCAGTGGGTCCTCTGAGCACCAGTTATCTACATTTTATATGGAAATGGGGAAATATGGAACACATAAACACACACTGAAAAGATTTTCAAAAATATGTCCAGAACTGAATAACATTTAACAAATCTTTAATGAGCTGCTTCCTATGTGACCAAATGAATATCTGTGATGCTGAAGCATTGTTTACAGTACAGAAATGAGAAAGAAACCCCTTTTTTCCAGTCAAGGCCAATGCTATGACCCATATTTCTGTGACATGATTATTAACAGATAAACCAAAAACTGTTATCTATGAAAGTTACAAACATGTGAAATCTGATCAAATATTTCCAATCTATCCCTTTTGTAAACAGCCCTACACATGTGGATATATAATCAATTCCAGTGCTCATTATTGATCACAATGCAACAGACAGGTTTCAATATTAAAAACATGGTACAGGTGGAAAAGAGTTTCCGTGGTCTTGAGAATCTATAATGCTGTGAACCTTATCAGAAGAATAAAAAGATTCAAGAACATAGCAGACCTTGGTATACCGAGCAAACTTAACAGGAGAAAAAAAAAAAAAAAAACTGAACCACCAGAGGTAACCTGTGGAGAATCCATGTAAGGACTATTTCATTCCACAATGTTATGACTTTTATGGAGAAGGCAGAATGATTAACTCAGATATTCATTATTGTATAATATGCCAACCGTAACTGATAACACTAGAGGTAATCCCCTTACACTACACGTGAAATAGGATATTCATTGTCCATTATTAAAGAATGAGATCAAATTTTGTGAATCTAAAAATGTATATTGAATATTACTGTTACATGCACTTCAGTAAAAATTGTCATCTCTAAGCAGAATGATGATAAAAAAGGCCTTTGAGACCACCAAATACCACTTATTAATAGGCATAGGGAAGGGATGGGTGGGTGGGTCAAAATACCAGACATCTATATCAGAGTTTTGACCATAACATCACCTAGTGGTCAGATATCAAGCTGATGATTACCATCACCAATGGTGACTGCAAGTTTATTTTCAGTAAAATTTTCACTGCTTTTGTTTGGAGATTTTCACACATCCCATACTACACCTCCCAAGCTGGAACCTCTTCTTTTGATAAACATGTTATTTTTAGCTAAATGCTTGTTTAAGTGTTTAGAAGACATTTTTAGTGCTAAGAAAAATCACCATGCTATTATTCTGTGTCAGGCACATGATCTGCAAATGATCTGGGTCATTCACCAAGGAAAGTTGCCCTCAGTAAAGAGGTTAAATGCATAATACAACCCTCATCAAAAAACAGATATCTACACTGGCACAGTACCACTTATTTGTCATCATAATAATATTATTGGTTTTGCTTTTCCCCATGTGTAGATTTATTTTTGTGTGAAATGAAACCTTTAAAAATTTCAATAAAATAAATACTTTAAAATTTCATCTCTGAAAGTTTTTATATAAAATTGCAGACTGACTGGAAAATTTAACTTTTGCTTAAAGACACATAAACTTTCTCATCTTTTCGTTTTAAATGATTTAGATTAAAAATTTCACCTTCACCTCCCAAGGGTAGTAATAATAAACAATATATATTAAAGTTGGTTTTGCTTGTATATTATATCATAGTTACTTGATGCCGTATCCTTTCAACTACAACAAATCAATATAAACCATTGACAACAAGAAACAACAGTTCGATATCTACACAATTAAATAAACATTTATGGTCAACAAGCTCAAATGATTCACTTATTTTGTCTCTGGTATTCCACTGGCAATTCATGTTATTTTTCATGAAATAGATTATCTTTCAACATTTGTTTCATGCTTCAAACCCTTGCTCTCAACAGATGTATTCACTGGTGCAGATTGTACAGAAACAATCCACAATATGACATGTGATGAACTGGATCAACAAAAAATCAATACTATGGTTGTAGTATTTTAAAGGGATAATAACTCTTCGTTTCGGCCAAAAAATGAATTTTCCTGGAGTTAACAACAATTTTCCCATACTTACCAATGGTTAATTAATCCATTTTTACATTCAAAGTTAGTCCCTGTTTTTTTTCATAAAAGTTTGGTTTTTTGTTAAAATCTCTTAAGAGATTTTAACAGAGTATAGCCATCAATGGAGGTCACGTGGTTTAAAGACAAGCTCAAATATCAGAATTTATAGCTATAACTGCAGTTTTTGTGGTAAAACAGAATATATCATATTTCTATGAGTTATTCACAATGTTTTTATTGTAAAATATAGATCTCATACGAAGAGTTATTATCCCTTTAATTTTCCTGGACTTGTTCATATTCATATAGGTAAAACCTCAGTCAAAATCAGTAAGATAATTTTGGTGAATTTTGATTTTTTTTAGGTTCATCCTCCCTTCCATTGTATGCATACTGAATATTACATGTATTATCCCTACAATATTATTACTGCAGGTCTGACTTTACAGCATAAACAGCCCTCTAACTAGGCAACATTTAATTTTTGTTAGGTTTGTCATCTTTGCTATAAATAAAGAGCAGACTGATCTTTATGGATCATTATTTCACAAACTACGACTAATCTTATGGTTTAGAGGCAGATAGCATGCAGAGAAAACTATAACCAACCTAAAAATGTTGTCATAGCAACAAATAATCTTCAATGACACAACAGCACTTTCACAGAGGCCTCCCTAGTCTTAAGAATTTCATATTTAAGATCAATACAGTATATGCAGATCATCAAGAGTTTACCATACATAAAAGTGGCATGGCCATAAGCAAGCACAAGATTTGTTTCATACCAATCAGATTTGTTATTTTGTTTTTCAATGAATTCTTGCGACCTTGGATAGAGGCATATAGATATAAATAAGTATAACACTTATAGCATGTCAAAAGCCAGAAAGCTGGTGACAGGGTACCTGAAGGCAATGCTATGCCTAATTTATCTTATATTCAAGTAACCTGCCCACTTAAACTGCAAAACATAGGCTATTCCTAGGGCTTTTTGTCATATGAAAAGAAAATTCAAATTTCTGATTAAAAAAAAAAAAAACATTATAACTTTCATATTTAAGATAATTGAAATCTACTGAAAGCTTATAATAGTTAACAAGTTAAAAGAATCCTCTAATAAACTTTATATCTATTCTTCTACAGACTGTCATATTACATGATCAATCTATACTTGGAGCTTACCTAAGTGAAAAAGTTGTGTATAATATATTCAATTTTTTAACATGGTTTTCTGGATTTATAGCCAAAACAATTACCTGTTGACTGGCATGTGTCCAGACAAAGCAACATGAATATTTTTGACATAATACTGCTATATTTGCTGTTTCCACCTCCTTTACCAGTATATTTCAACTACACAATGTAAACAAAATACATCAACATACATTTTTCAGGTTAAAGTGTCCTAAAAGCACCCTGAGCAATATGTGAATTAGGCACTGTGCTTATGAATGCATTCTAATGTCTGTGCCCATTGCCTAACTGCATTTTCAAAATGCTAAAGTCATAAAAACATCTGATGCATGTTCAGATCATTAAATCTTCAGGTACCTTAATCATTTCTAGCAGTCCTCATCTACATAATGTGCACAGTCTCCACTAAATGATAAAAAAACAAGTATAAATAAACAAGTATAATCTCTTGTTTTTAATGATGCCCACACAAATGGACAGAATTTATTATCAAGCACTAGGCAACATTCTGTTCTCCTTGCACTAGTAAGTCTCTGATCTCTAATGAGGCATGTCGGCCATAGTCAATGATAAATGTGCATAGTCTCCATCTGTTACATCCAGAACTGATATTTTCCCTGTCATGACCTCATAGGGTGAATGCTAGAGGTTCAGACTAGGGTGCAAACAGGTGCTTTACAGTGCCACACTATAATCTGCTCATTATTTCACTAATTTACTCACTCATTGTAGACAAGAGCAACGAGTAACTGTCAGTTTATCACAGTGAAACCATAGCTTCAATAATCTTGTTAGTATCATCCTCAAAATTCTTGAAGGCTTATTGGTTAAAAAATGCAATTTTCTTCTAAAGTTATATATAGAATGTATGGCTGTTGGACTGCAAGCTTGTGCAAAATATACAGTTAATGATTTAGTGAACTGATAACTTACACTCATGGAGTAAATATCCAAGCTATATGCCACTGACACAATTGTTTTATACCACCATCTACATAAAACTTTTTTCAGCCTGACCTTTTACAAAGACCATGATTTAAGGCCAGAATTGAACCTAAACACCATTTCCAGTACATGTTTATTAATGTCCTAACCAATTATTCACCAACTTTTTTTATTCTTATGCCACGTGAATATCTGCCTACACGTAAAAAATGGTCAAGGTAAAAAAAAAATAATAAGAGGCATTTATGTAACAAATGATTGGCCAAATTATATCCAATTTGTTATTTATTATCGTCCAA